CTTCTGGTCCCCTCCATTGATTTGAGTTCCAGTTTTCTTTCCATCACTGTTGGATCCCTGTGCATTTTCCTTCATTTGACTTAGTGTATGCTGCCTTCATTTTTTCGTCTAATTTTTGACCAAAATCAATCAGTCTGTGAGCATCCTGATCACCAGTGCTTTGAACTGTGCATTTGATAGGTTGGCTATCTCTTGGTAACTTAAAAGTATTGGCTATGAGGCTTTGATTTGTTCTTCTGATTGAGCCATTTTTGGTTAGGTCATGCCTGACCAACTGAGTGGCGGAGCCTCAGGTGTTCACCAAGGCTGGGCAACCCCAGTCACTGGGTTGTGACACTATATGTGGGGGCAGGGTCAGAGAGGGAGCAGTGGCACTTGTTCTGCACTGTCTCGGATTTGGGTTCCCTCTGCAGCTTCTCACAAGCAAATTGGGCCCTTCTGGGGCTGGTTCCCAGGTGGGTGGGCTTGTTAACATTCTAGGACCCTCTAGGTCTCTCCAGTGAACTCTCCTGTGAGGCTGGGAGCCTCTCCCAGCACCTTGACCCCCGAAAGTTTTTTCAATCGGTGCTTTTAGGCTTTATTTCCTGTCGCTGGGGCCCTGGGCTGCACAGTCTGTCTCACTGCTCGTTTTTTGGCCTGGTTTATCTGCATTTCAATGTGTGTCTGCAGTCAACCAACCTCCTTGCACATCTCACTGGGTTTGCTCCATTCCTCCCTGCACCCAGTTCTGCTAAACCACTGCCTCTTCCTGCCAGGACCCCTTTCCACTGGCTGCTGACTTCGCCCATTTTACTGGTCTTGATGAATGGTTCATTGTTGCCCAACTTTGATACAGTTCAATTTTCTGTCTGTTCTGGTTGTGTTTTTGTTTCTAAATCTTGTCCTTAAATTTGGTTGTGTGCAGAGGCACAGTGTCTCCACCTATGCCTCCATCTTGGCCAGTGGAGTTTATTCTTATATTATTTATTAATTATTGTATTATTTACCATATGAACAACTGCCAACCTACTTTTGCCCCCCCCATATATGACAGTTGTGTGTGTTATGTGCTACTGACTCAGCTCTGACTCCTGCTGACTCCATGAATGAGTGATGCCCACAGCGTCCTGTCCTCAGCAGCCCTGCTCGGCTCCCGTAGACTCCTGCCTATGGCTTCTTCTGTGGAGCCAATCATCTCATGTTTGGTCTTCCTCTTTTCCTGCTGCTGTCTGTCTTTCCCAGCATTATTATCTTTTCCTGCCTTCTCACAATGTGCCTGAAGTAGGACGGGTTCAGTCTGGTCATTTTTGCCTCCAGCCATGTATCCAGCTTCATTTGCTGTAGGGCCCACATGTTTGTCTTTCTGGTGGTCCAGAGTGTCCGTGGAGCCCTCTGCCAATGCCGTATTTGAAATCAATCAGCTTTTCCTCTATCAGTCTTCATCGATATCCAACTTTCACTCCCATACATGGTAATTGGGGATATGAGAGCGTGGATGACCTTAGACTTGGTTCCTAATGACATCTTTGTTTTTGGTGATTCTCCCTAGTTCCCCCATTGCTATCCTGCCGAGTCTCAACCTTCTCTCAATTTCTCAACTGCAGTCTCCATTTGAATTGATGGCTGGACCAAGGTAAGCAAATCCGTAACAACTTTGATGTCTTCATCATCTACGTTAAAGTTGTATAATTCTCCTATATTCGTGACTTTCGTCTTCTTGATGTTCAAATGTTCTAATCCTCACAAGAATATGTCAACAAATACAGAGACAAAACCATGGCCTGCAGACTGGAAACGTTCAATATGCATCCCAATTTTCAAGAAAGGGGTGCCCAGGAGTGCAGCAACCACAGCACTTTGCTCTAATTTCCCGGGGAAGTAAAGTGATGCTCAAGGCGATGCAACAAGGGCTCCTATGTTATGTGGGGCAAGAAATATCAGACATTCAGGGTGGATACAGAAAAGGAACAGGCCCTTGAGATCTAGTTTATTCACTGGGTTCTGGAACATTCACTGGATACCGGAGTGCTCTAAAGAATTCCAGCCCTGGCTGGTGTGGCTCAGTGGACTGAGCATTGATCTATGAACTGAAAGGTGGCTAATTCAATTTCCAGTCAGGACACATGCCTAGGTGTGGGCTAGGTCCCCATTTGGAAGTGTGCGAGAGGCAACCAGTCAATGTTTCTCTCCCTCTTTTTTGAAATCCCTCCCTCCACTCTCTCTAAAAATAAATAAATAAATAAAATCTTGAAAAAGGAAGAAATTCAGAAGGTTAGTCTATGTTTATGGACTACAGTAAAGCCTGTAACTGCCTGGACCATGAAAAGCATTTGGCTGTTGTGAGGCGTAACCTCTGTTGCAGACAGGAAGCCACTGTCAGAACAGAATGTATGGAGACAGGATGGTTTCCTGTAGGTGAAGGTGTCAGACAAGGGTGTACTTTATCTCAGGGGTCCCCAGACCCCGGGCCAGGCCATGGACCAGGGGAGAAACTCACCTGAGCTCCGCCTCCTGACCCCCCACTCTGGTTAATGGGAAAACTGGTTCCTGGTGCCAAAAAGGTTGGGCACTGCTGCTTTATCTCCTTATTGGTTTGTTTAATATGTTAGCAGAACATATACAAAAAGTTGGGCTAGACTCAGAGGAAGGAGAAGTGGAAATTGGTGGAAGGAATATCAATACACAGTAACGACTGCTCAATCGGTATTTGTTGATGGAATAAATATTTGTTATCCATTTATCTCACTGCCTCCAAACTCCTGAATTCGCGCTGGTAGCTTAAATACTCGCCTCAGCCCCTTCTCCAATAATGACACTCACTGCCACTCCTTTCCTGGAATTTTGGCACTTAATATTCCTGCTCTGTGTTGGCTCTGCCCCTCGTCTGGCCCAGGGGTCCCCTGAGGTCTCGGGTGAGAATTTCTCCATCTTCCTCCTGATGCATCCCATTATGGCCCTTCAGCCAGAGCCCCAGTGGAAGCAGCCCTGGCCTCATTGCAAACAGTGATGGTCAGCATGAGGCTGCCACCCTCCCCAAGCAGGAAGGAAGTGCCAGTGGGCCACATGGACTGAGAAACCACATTGGGCTCCCATGTCTCAACAGCAGCGTGTGTTCATGTCTGCCTAGAGAGGTACTTTGTTTTTTGTTTTTTCCCCGGGGAGGTATTTTGGCTCAATGTCACTCAGTCAGTCAAAGTGGCTGTGTGGCCCTGGCCGATATGGCTCATTTGGTTGGAGTGTACTCCTGTGGACTGAAAGGTTGCAGGTTCGATTTGCAGTCAGGGCATATACCTAGGTTGATCCCCAATCACCCCAGTCAGGGCATGTATGAGAAAGCAACCAGTCAATGTTTCTCTGTCTCATCAGTAGTTCTTTCTCTTTCTCTTTCTCTTTCTCTTTCTCTTTCTCTTTCTCTTTCTCTTTCTCTTTCTCTTTCTCTTTCTCTTTCTCTAAAAGCAATGAAAAAAAAAATATCAGGGATGTTCAGTCATTAGGGCTTGTAATAAAGCCCTCCGGTTCAAATCCTCTGGGTTTCTGCCTATTTCCCCCCAGGCTGGTCGACACTGAAGGCTATTTGTGACCAAACCGTGATTATTTCCTCTGTTCTTCACATCTACCAGGGCTTGAAAAAAATTTAAATCGAGAGATTTCCCATGAAAATAAGATCTGGCATTACCAGACCACATCTCCCTCAGGCCTCCCTTCAGTGGGGGACTGGATTGCAGATCTCTCTTCAGATGGGGCAGATGCCCTGCTGGAGTCCAGTTCCCTCTCTCCCTCTCCCACTTCTTTCCTTTCTTTTCCTGCCCTGCTTTCCCAGGGCTCTAGGAGTACCACCCAGTAGTAGGTGCTTAGCTGCCCTAAGGACGGAAAGACATACAAGTGTCAGCCTTTAAGGAGTTTACAGCCTAAACATTGTCGAGGTAAGAACGTCCAAATCTGCAGAGAATTAGGAGTTTATTTCAGCCAAACTGCCAACAGCAGAGGAGCAAGATCTCAACTGCTTCGGAAAATAAGTTTATGCATTTGAGATTAAGAAGGGAAAATGAAAGTGGGAAAGGGGTTGGATTCCAAGATAGGTAAAGGATATTAGGTGCTTTCTTGAGGTTGGTTAGGTTCATTTCAACAGTGAGCTAACCTAAATGCACAGAAAGATTGGACAGTGCTTGCTTCAGGCAAAGCAAATTCTTTAAAAAAAATTATATGGCTGGGGTGGGAATAATAGCAGCAAACTGTCCTGTTAACATATATTATCAGATCACCTTGTGAGGTTACATTCCCTAGAAACCCTTTTCTATCCACAGCATGTGGAGTAGGATTTTAAAGTGGGGTGGGTAAGGTGTAGGGGAAGCATTGCATGGAGAAAGAGCAGGGCTAGGGTGGAAGCAGGAGAATGCAGACTAAAGGGATAAGAGTTGTCCCAAGGGGGTATCTCCCAAGTGGGTAGGTCCATTATCAGGAATCACTTAATTCACGACATGGTCAGAATTTGATCAGCAGGAAATGGAAGGGAAGGTGCTGGGCATTGGAATCACATAGACCCCTGTTTGAGTCCTTATGCCTCTACCATTCGCTCCCACTTTCACACCTGTTTAAAACTGGGATATGCCTAAACTGCTTTACAGCGCAGCCTTGAGGATTAAAGGAGAGCGGGGAAAGTGCTTGTACCATGCTCCACACACAGTAGGGGCTCTGCCAGTAACAGTTCCGGACTCGACCACGCCAGACACATAGTGTGACATGAACAACTGGTGCACGCGTGCAGGGAATTGATGAGAGGTGCCCAGCGTCTCAGCTCTGCTGGATGCAGCCCATGGCTCTCTCTTGGCCTTGGCCTCGTGCGACCCCTAGACGAGGTTCCAGCAGTGCGCATGCGGCATGGGTAAACCTCGGGACGCTGAAAGCAGTAGCCCAGTGGGCGGAGCACATCTGCGAGTGCGCAGAAGGTCCGATGGGCAGGGCATGGGGTGCAGCTGCGCATGTGCAGAAGGCCTGGCGGGCTTGAGTCTCGAGCAGAGAGCATGGGCGAGAGGGTGAGCCAGTCGTGTGGCCGGGCCTCGTTCGAAGTCGGCACCCTAGCTTCTCAGAGAGCACTGCCTAGTGAGTAGTCCTGTCGAGGCCACTTTTCTGAAGCGTGAAGAGCCATCCATGTGTCAGAAAGGTCCTGGCTGAGCCTGAGAGCTCCTTGGGTGTGAGGTAACGGCCCCAGCGGCCTGGTGCTCGGGTTTGTTCCGCCTTCCCACCCACCAGGGAGGTTTCCGGTCTGGCAGCTCCTCACCACCCGCCGCTGGCCCCTAACGTACCCTCGCCAGCGCTTGGGCCTGCTCGGATGCCCAGCACACCCTTTGCCAAACCACAGGGCCACGTGCGTTTCCGTGGCCTGGGGCTCAGGTAGTTGCAGGCAGGAGGGGCCATGGCGTGGGCGGGGCAGGGTGAGCTCCCAGCCTGTGCCGAGCGGGTGGGGTCCCCTCCACGGGCCGCTGAGCAGCGAGGAGGGGAGAGAGCCTGGTCAAACAGCTCAGGTGTTCCAAGGCCACCGCACCCCCCCCCCCCCCCCGCCCATCCTCTGAATGACTCTCCCTGTATCCGAAGTGTCTGTTCTGATCTGCAGCCCCAGTGGCGACCCAGGCTTGGTAGTTGCCGTGAAAACAAGACTTCTTCCGTGGAAGCGTTTCTTGTCACATCCTGTGTTAAAGGTTGGAATGAGTTTCCAGTTTGCAAATGCCTGTTCGAGCCTTGGAACTAAGTATTTGAGTCACGGCACTTGGTGAGATCCGCTCAGCCCCTTGGGTCCTTGAATCTGGGCATCTGGGGACATGGACAGGAAGGTTCAAGTGCGTGAACTTTGCTGCACATCCTCAGCTTTTCTGAACATGAGCTCTCTCCCCTGCAGATCTGCAGGTAGCAGACCTGCCGTGGTAGATAGCCCACACTCTCCCTGGGCTCTCTGTTACCGGGTGTGTCTCTTGGGGCCCCTCCAAACCGAGCATGTCCAGGTAAGGACTCAACACCTTCCCCTCACAAACTGAACTCTGTAAGGCTCCTTTTTAAAGAAAGTGGCGTGTTTATCCTTCGTCCTAGTTCAAGCTACCAGGAATGGTCCTCGTCTGTCCTTCACCCCAGCAAGTCACCAAATCATGACATTTTCCAAACCAGGTCACTTCTCTTTCATTTTCATTACTGTAGGCCAGACAACTCTCGGTTTCTGCCTAGAGCCACAGGAGTCTCCTAGCTGGTTCGTTGTCTAATGCTCTTGTTCCAGGTTATTCCCACATTACAACCAGAGGGGTGTTTTGTTTTTTTGTTTTGGTAACTTAGAGCTATGTGGTTACGTCCTTTCTTTTATATTCTGCAGTGTCTTCCTATTTGCTCTTAGGATAAAATCTACAATTCATAACCTGGCCTGTAGGGAATGTCCTCATTCCTTCTCTACCTATGCTTTCTCCTTGAACGTTCCAACAGCTTCAAATGCCACGGAAACACTGATGACTTGAATTTATATTTCCATCCCTTGCTCGCTAGGATACCACCCCCTCTGCATATCCACAGAGATGTCTAACAGGCCTCTCCAATTTAACTAAAGCAGAACTACTGATTTTTTTTCTGCAAATCTCCACCCCTGACATCCTTCCCCATCTCAGTAAAGGGTATGTACCAATGTCCACCTCATAGCAAAAGCCAAAGTAAGTGACATCCTTGATTCCCACAGCTAGTCCATCTGTCTAAAATGTACCTCCAATCCAACTATTCTGTAATTCCTAAGACCCCAAAGTCCAAATCAGCAACACCTTTCTTCTAGACTGCTACAAAAGCTTCCTAACTGGTCCTTTTGCTTCTGCTGCTATTCTCTTACAGTTCATCTTCCTTTTAGCAGCCAGAATGATACTCTTAAAGCACAGATCATCTCTTTTTATAAAACCCTTAGCAAAATCTGAATTCCCAATGATGGTCAACAGGCCTCATGTGATCTGGCTCCTGCCTGTCTCTGCTTCATCTCCTCTACTCTGTCTTCTTTCTCTGTGTTCCAGTCACACTGACCTTTCTGTCCATTAATTCACCTATCACAGGCCATCTGTGCTTGCTGGTTTTTGCTGCTTGGAAATTTTTCCCTTTGACTTTGCAGGGTGGTTTCACTTTCCATTAAGGCCTCAACTGGGTTAGGATCTCTTCTGAAAGGCCTTCGCTGGCCACAGTAGCCAAAGCAGCCTCCCAGTCACTATCATAAAATCCTATTTTATTTTCTTCATAGCACTTAAGAGTATTTCAAATTACATTCATGAATTTATATGTTTATTGTTGCTCTCCACACCTCCTGAAGCGTAAGCCCTTAAAGATGGAATCGTGTTTCTCTTTTCACTCATTTCATCAGTGCTCAGAACAGTGCCTGATGCAGAACAGAGCCTGAGGCTCTCAAATGCCTGGTGACTGACTTCACTTGCAGTCTTATGTCATAGAACTGCCCTCATGTCCACTCTGTTCCAGGTTACTATACTTCTCTCTTTTGAAAATGCCATGCTGCTCCCAACCAAGGACTCTTGCATCTGGTGTTTCCTATACCCACTGCAGCCCCCGCACCTACTTTTAATTTGCACGTCACTAACTCATACTTGCCCTTCAGATAGGAGTCACTCGGGGTGGGTTTCCCCGACTTCCATCCTAGGTTGGGACACTCTGGGTGAGGTTATGCCCCATACCACCCTGTCCTTTTTTTGGTATTAGTTCTTACAGTTAAAATCATTTGTAAGTTTTTGTAGGCAGGGACCAAATTTTTATTCTCCCCCACTTTATTTCATAACTTAGTTTCTGGAACATAGTAGACATGCAAATATTTGGTTGAATGAACACAATTTTGAGAGAATCAAATCAGGTAAAAATTAGAGCAGTTGGCATAGAGTGTAAATTAGCTGAATTTGCCTTGCCTAGTTCAACAATTTTTTTTTTTGATCTTGTGAGATAGAGATAGGAAAGTATTGTATAAACAAAATGCTTCATAAATATGAGGGTTTTTTTTTTTTTTTTGCTAAGGTCTATTCACAGTCATATCCCTATGGTTTGATGGTCTTTCAAAGCCCAAAGTGTTGTGTTTTCCAGCCACAATACTGTTGGACCAGGTAGCGAGATGAAATACTCTTCTGTTGCTTTTCCATAATAAGCAGCACAATCCTGGACCTGTTTACCAAAGGCGGTTTTCCCATTAGCTTTCATGATGGTTAAGATGGAAGTGGAAGAGGCACTTAGGTGCAGAGAACAACTTAGAGGTTGACTTAGACATTTTCCTGAGTCTATAGAGCTGTCCACTAAGGCCTTCAGATTTCCCTTCAGGGCATCTTCCTACCTCTCTGTTTGGAGGTTAGTTACTCCTTTCTCCCAAACAAAACAAAATCTGACACAGTTCCAATGGCAAATCTATTCCTGAACAAATGCCAATAGCCTTTTCAAGACTGTGCCTTTTACCAAAAAGCATAGGAAGAAACCTAGAGAAGGTGAATGACATCAGTAAGCGTGGAAGTGTCCAGGATAGCCGTAGGTCAGTCTCTTCCTGCCCCATATTTGAACACTTTGTTTTTTAAAAGGCTAGTTTTTTATTGAGTGACCTATGTGTAGAGCAATACAATGAGCAATTAATTATACATGCATTATTTCATTAACCATTCTAATCACCCTGTAAGGGGATCAGGAAACTGAAAACAGTTCCTTTTGAAAATAGAGCTTGAAAAAGAAAAGGAAAAACAAACCAAAAAACCCCAAAACAAAATGAAAATAGAGCTCGAAGACAAACAAATATGACTATAACCATTTATACAATAGGATATGGTTCTGAAAACCTTTTAATTAGAAACTACTAGATTTGGGCTTGATCTCTACTCAGATTGTTTGCCTTAAATCATCCAGAGTTATGAGAGTGACTTTTAAAATTCTGCATAGTTTAATAAAATGACTGGCCGACTAATGTGCTGTAACCAAAAATGCGTGGGCCAAGGGAGTTGGCAATCTCTGGGGGGCCAGTCCTGGTTCTATACTAAGTTATGTGACTGTGGAAGTTACTTTCTTCTTTGGTGAGAAGAAGAAAGTCCCTCTTGTCCCTGTTAAAACAAAGGCACCGCAGTGTAGGCAACCATAGATCTCTGGTTGGAAATACAGATTTCCAAAGTCTCAGTCTGCTTCAGCAAAGGCAGGCAGACCTCTGAGGCTGGCCGTGGACTTTCGAAGTTGTATGGAGCAGTTGGTCACTTGTTCTCAATCTCAGTTCTAAAACTTGGGTATTGGATTCACACTGTCAGTGGGATTTCCCTGTTTTGTGGCCCACATTCATTGGTGGTCACAGAGCAAATGTGTTTTTGAACAAATACTTAATGGAAGCTCTTTTATTCTTTAACACTGGAAGATTTTCTCATCAGATAACACCAGAAAAACTGAGCGATGGTACTTCCTTGTGATCGTCTCCTTCCACCTCTCAGTAGATGATGTCATTATCCTTGTACAGCACTCAGCCCTGCTTCAGGTTCTGTGCACTGACCCACGTTTTGTTTATGTGAAACAAATGACCTGACCTTGAAAAAGCTAGCTTTGTCTAACATCGGTGCTAGCGTGTTGTTTAGGTCTAATTATTGGGGATTTTCAAGGAAAGATTCTTGATTGGGACTTGTCAGATTCTGCAGTGAGATTAAAGTGAATTAGTTTTTCTTGAATTTGCTTTTCTAGTGAAGCATTCATGGAGAAACTTCAAATCTATCGAAACAGCTAATGTTTATTTAATACTCTTGGAGCAGAGGTCCCCAACCTTTTGGCACCAGGTGTTTCCATGGACCGGGATGGGGGGTGGAGGGGATGGTTTCAGGATGATTCAAGTGCATTACATTCAAGCTCACTTCCTGCTGTGCGGCCTGGTTCCTAACAGGCCTGGACCAGCATGGAGGTGGGGACCCCAGCTTTAGAGTTTATGAAGTACTGTTTGATAGCATGATCTCGTCAGTACCTGCAATAATTCCGGGAGTAGGTGGGATCCCCATCTGTAGATGTAGAAACTGACAAATGAAGAGGCTGAATTGTTCAGGATTTAATAACTAATAAGAGGCTGAGCTAAGGCCTGAGCCTTGGTCCTCCAATTCCATATCTTAGGTCTTTCCCACTCTTATGTCTATCCCATTTTCCCTATAACTTTTCTTCTGTTTTAAAGCTGTCATGTTTTGTGGTCACTTAAAAATGGTTTGAGATCCTGTCTCTTCATCTGTAAGATCTCATCAACTTAATAACAGTCCCAGGGACATTGTGTCACCGTGACTGCAGTACTCATGTTGGAAAATGACCTCGTGGAATCTTTGAGCCGCCACTACTACTCTGTGGTTGTTTTGGGTTATTCTGTCTAATCTTTATTTCCAGACAAGGTTATTCATGTGTGGCATTTGTTTCTGCAGCCAGCAATGAACAGGAACAGGCTCCATCTAGAAGAGGGCTGTTCTTACTTCTTTCAGACAGCTGTAGCTCAGCACGTGAATCTTCCTGTCTGGATTTTCATTTCCAGAAAATGTCCTTCATGTCCTCTGCTCTGATGCCCTCAGCACTCGGTCTATAGAGAGAAATGATTGCATTTTTGAAGAATCCTTTATCTGAGATCTAAAGTTTTGTGGTATCAGCCTAAGTCTGACTCGGTGGACTCCCTGCCTACTTAGAAAACTCACCTAGAACCAGAAAACACCATCAAGTCTAGCCTGAGTTCCTGCTGTGCCTTGGCATGGAGAATCGGCAAGAATTTTCTCAGGATATGAACAATATTTCCCCTTTGGTAACTGCAGTTGGCACCAACTAGCTCTTTTCACTTTTGACTGCAGTTCTAGTCTAAATAATCCCCTGGGCTCGGGCTCCAACCTCCGGGCAGCAGCAAGATCAGACACTGGGATATATCTCTTTACTGGCAGCCCCAGGCTTAAACTTTGGAAATTGTGGGAAATTCCATTCTTTGGCCACAGAGATCTTCTGACTCCAACACACAAGAGTTTTCCCTGCTGAGTAGAAATGATATCAGTAATACGGAGTATCAAATAATGAAAATAGTTCTTTATGTGTGTATAATATTTAGTACTTAAAAATGATGTTATATTTATTTTTTCTCCTTTCTAATAACCCCGGGAAGCAGAGGGGAAAAGTGGTTAATCCATCAGGTCTGGATTCATACTGGTCTCAGTTTGAGTCCCATTTCCAACATTCAAAGCTGTGGAGGTTACTCCATCTCCCAGTGTCAGTTTCCTTATCTGTCAAATTTAGACCACTTGTCTCATAGGCATATTGTGAAGACTGAGATAAGAGGGCATGAAAAAATTATTATAGTATAAATAAGAAAACCAAGGCCCAGAGAAACTAAGTAGAGACACTGGAGCTGAGATGTAAACCTGAATTGTTCTCACGTTGTATCTACCTCATCTCAGCTTCCTCTGAAATCAGTACCTTGCACTATGTAAAGGTAGCTTTGATCCTCAGCAACCGTGGGCCTCTTACTCCTGTTATTTATCACTTAAACTTTATATATGAAGAGACAGAAAGTGCAGGATTTATTATTTCTACTTTACAAAGAAAAAAGAGGCCCCGGAGAATCCTAATAACTTAGGAAAACACAGTGTGCTTGACTCCTAGCTCTCAGCACACGTCCGTTGCCTGTCCAAGGAGAAGAGAGAGGCTGTCCTTCTATTTATTTATCTTTAGAGGGAAGGGGGAAGGAGAGAGGGAGAGAAACACAATTATTTTTGCTCCCTCCAGCCAGGGCTGAGGCTGTCCTTCTTTATCTCTCCCCTTTCCTTCCCTGAGTTTCCCATATTGGGGACAAGTGGGCAGAGATTCTGGGACAGGAAAAGTAAAACTAGTAAGTGCTAGAGGAAGGATAGTAGGCACTCTTGTCTCACAAGAGAGAGGCAGAGTGACTGGGAGGTGGGAAGGTGGGGCCTTCCTCAGCATCGCTGAGAAACATTAGTGTCCATCCTTATTTGCTGCACTGGCCGCGGCAGGGAGTGGGGCTCCTCCCCTACCTGCATGTGAAATGAATAGCAGAGGTCTTCTCAATTGGGCCACTTAGCGGTACAGCCTTTGAATTGTTTCATTATGTGACCTGAGCCCTGTTCACACTGGCTTACGTTACGGGGAAAGTGAGGACAAGGGCAGAGGATAGGTATGGAAGATGTTTATTGGTTTTAGAGAGAAAGGATGGGGAAGAGAGAGAGACATCCATGTGAGAGAGAAACATCAGTTGGTTGCCTCCCATGTGTGCCCTGACTGGGAATTGAACCAGCAACTGTTTTGGTGCCTGGGATGATGCTCCAACTAACTAAGCCACCCAGCCAGGGCTGGAGATAGATATTTAATGCTAACAAAGAAACCCTGTGAGTCATCAGGTGATAGTGTTATTCTCATGAAAGAGAGGTAATTTGTACAAACTAATAAGATGAACCAAGCTTGCTCAGGACTTTTGACTTCAAGTGAAGAGATTGTCCCAGAACACCATGCATCCTCTGCATGCAGGTAACAGAATGGTCCAGGTAATTAATATCAGAACTAAGCCTGGGACGTAAACAGTGGTGCTGAGTGTTGGACATTTTACTCATAAACAGTGCTATAGGTTGGGCAGGCTCACTTTCCCATAGGGAAGGAGCCGTCTTCGGTTTTTTAATATTTCTCTAATATTTCTTTTATAGGCTATCATTTGGATAGCAGTTTGAAACCCTTCACCTACCCGTTTCCAGAGACAAGGTTTCTTCATTCAGGATCTAATGTGTATAAATTCAAAATCAGATATGGCAGCAGAGTCAGGTAAATTTAAAGGGGGCGGGGGTGGGGGATGGAGCAAAAAAGAAAAATAAGTCATGGACACAGCGGTGTGGCGATTGTGGGGCAGGGAGGGGGTGGGTGGAGGGGTAAGGGGGATAAACGGTAGTGGGGAAAAATACAGTACAAATAGACTGTTAAAAAAGAAAAGAAAGTTCAAATACGAAATCAGATATGGCAACAGCTTCGGGTAAATTTAAAGCTAGCGGGGGTAGCCTTTGCGAACAGGTCAGCGCGTTTTCCCGCAGGTCAGCCTTTCTCTGCCTTCACCCGGTCCGAGAGACTGGCTGAAGTAGCACCTTGTGGGTTTCTTTCTGAGGTACTTTATTTTCCACATATTATATGTTATTTGTGTAAGTTTTTAAATGAGTGATGGCGTGACTTTGGGGAAGTGCTTCTTAAACTTTTTTATCTCAGGACTCTGCACTCTTAAAATTATTGAGTGTCCCAAAGTTTTGATTATATGGATTATCCCTATCAATATTTAGCATACAAAAATAAAACAGAAAAATTAAAATATCATACTTATTAATGTAAAAAAAGTATGTCATAAAATGTTTTTTATTGATTTTAGAGAAAGAGGAAGGCGGGGAGAGATTTGTTGTTCACTTGTTCATGCATTCATTGGTTGCTTCTTGTAGATGCCCCATCCAGGGATTGAACTCACAACCCTGGTGTGTCTGGACAGTGCTCTAACCAACTGAGCCACCCAGTCAAGGCTACTGTGGGAATTTTTTTTAAAGGTTAATTGCAGTGTGGAATCTGAAATTATATCAGTGATCTTTTTGAACTCTGCTACATTAAAATTCGTTCATCTCTCTTGTTCTTTGAATGAATGTTTTTACCTAGAATGATTTTGTAACATAATGCATTTCATTGGTCATTCGGAAAACATCGGTTTACTGACTTATTCAGATCATCCAAGTGTCACCACAGTTCATTATACAGGAACACCTTGGAGGTACTGTGGGTTCGGTTCCAGACCACCACAAGGAAGCAAGCCATAATCTTTTTGCCGATAGAGAATTTTGCCTTGAATTTGTAAAAAATGCAACAACTGTGAAGCACAGTAAAGCAAAGTACGATAAACGAGATACGCCTGTACAATATCAAAAAATTATTTGTTAATATCACTACCAGTCTCATCAGAAACCTGACAATCTCATAGTGGTGGACAGAAGTTTTCCAAAGTGCAAATTTTTGCTTGAAATCCCAAAATTTATCATTGACAACAAATACTGTCAGTTTTCATTTGCCAATAAATAGCTGAGTTGATAAGCTCACTGTTCATTTTTGAGAAAATGTCACATTACCAAGTCTAATAACAACCGTAGTTTATATGTCAGCCGACCGTCCGAGTGATCGCTGTCCGTGAAAAGAGCAGGTAGCAGCTCAGTTTGCAGCCTAATCGCATGAGTGCTTTTCCTCCAGACACCGCTGATGTTTCCGTAGGCACCGAAGTGCTTTCTGTATACTTGCCATTTTATTCTATGACATATTAAAAAGACATGTATTCAAGGGTTGGGATTTTATAAAATTACTAAATTTTTACTGCTTCCTCAAGGGTATTAAATGAAGATGTATTTTTTGTTTTTCCTGTGTGGCAGTAAAGGTTACTGTAACTGCTGGTACAGTTTAGTGCAGCTGGCTGGATTTAAGCTAAGATATCAGCAGTTTTGCTCACTGTTGCTTTTGCATTAATGATTACAAATGTTAACCCAGTGAAAAAGGCAAATAACATCGTAGTATTCTGAAAACAGTGTTTGCCCTTGGAGACCCCTTGAAAGGGTCTTGAGGACCCGTAGGGGTTATCAGACTACACTTGACTACAAATGCTCTAACAAATTAGTAACTTTCACAAGTGGCAATTTCAGGTCTTGGCAAGTTAGCGGAGAAGGTATTTTGGTCCATTGCCTTGTGCTAATTCTCAGACCACACCATCTAGGTGATCACTTCCTCCCGTGAGCCCTGGGTCAGTGTACATACTTGTTATTTAGTCGTGTTTCTTTAGCTCAGTGAAGTGTCATTTTTGCTCAGCTGTCTACTGTCTTCAGAGCTTTCCTTCTTGGCTTACTTATCTCTTGTTTATTTACCTTCTAGAAGGCAAGATATAGAAAATAAGGAAGTCATCGTCCAGGAGCTGGAGGTAGGGAAAGAAGCTGACAATTTCTGGGAAAGTTGTTCTTTTGAGGATGCATCTATATCCAGATTTTAATGATTTCTTACCAGCTGAGTCACAGCTCCACTGATTGCTTGGCTTCCCCCACCACATTTCCTCTGCAAAGATATTTTACTGTTTTTCCAGGGAAATTAAAGCCTGTATCCTTTTTCGCTTTTCCTAGTTGAAGTGTCAGCACCTTCGAGGCTGAGAGTTATTTTGTTCCTACCAGCGTTCCCGGCCACAGGCAGCTGTCTTGTGGCAGCTGGCAAAGAGGAAGCTTCCGGAGGACTGGGCGGAGTCCCGCCTTCCAGGGCTCTGGGAAACCTCGCCATCCCAACCACTGCCTGGTACTTGACGTTCAGGAAACTGAATTGTAAATACACAGACAAGGCTGCTGTGTCTTCATCTTAATTGGAAACATTTGCCATTGCTTTATTCCCACTTTATTTTCATTCCTTTTCTACCCAGCTCCTCTAGCTTTAGGTTTTCACACATGAAGAAGACTGAACAGGTGGACATTTTCATAAATTGGTAAAAGCACCGGGCAAGGGGCTGAGCCTCTAATTAGTGGTGTGATCCTCAGCAAATCATTTATCTCTCTGGGTCTTGATTGCCTCACTGGTAAAGTGAGAGGCTTAAAGATTTTATTTATTTTCAGAGAGGGGGAAGGGAGGGAGAAATATTGATTGGGTGCCTCTCATATAACCCCAAATGGGGACCTGGCCTGCAAACCAGGCATGTGTCTTGACCAGGAATTGAACCTGTAACATTCCAGTTCACAGACTGTCAGTCAATCTACTGAGCCATACCAGCCAGGGCTAAAATGAGAGTTTTAAAGCCATTTAATCTCTTATAACTTCACAACTCAATGACTTATGATTATTGTGGTTTATTAAGACAGATGCTGCCACATTTCAAATAATTCAAATATAATTGAATACACAAAAACTGGAGACCAAACATTTGACTCATAGCACTAAAGATACCTGTGGCTCTTTGGCTAAACGTTGAAACATACGTTAGGATCTTGCAGAACCTCAGAAACATCATTATAAATAGCGATATAAGACCATGGCAGTTTTTTGCTTATTTTAATTGTGAATAGAGCAGAATTAATTCACTTTGCTCCAGTTAATTTGGGCAGAGAAGAACTCACGTGGTACAGTACAGTGGAGAGAGCATAGACTTTAGAACCAGTCAGATCTGGATGTGAACTCCAGTTCTGCCTTCACAGAGTGACTTTGGGCAAGTGACCCACCTCCTCTGAGTCTGTTTTCTCACCTGTCAGTGAGGTGGATAAGTAGAGCCTGTTCTCGGGGTGGCAGCGAGGACTAGAAATAGATAAGTGCAGTGCCTGCCACATAGTGGCTCGATAAATGCCAGCTAGACAGCATTTATATACATATATAATCATATTCATGTTCTCAAAGTGCTTTTTATATGTTCTCTTTCTGTTTCACTGGTTTTGAGGCAGGAATTGTTATTCTCTTTCAGTCATTTAGAAAACATTTATTGAGAGGCACCTATACCTTAATTGTTAAGACAAGCCCGGGTTCATATCTTGGCTGTACCATTACTAACTATGAAACCTTGTAAAAGTTATTCCATCTCTTTGTCTCAGTTTTCTCATCTGTAAAATGAGGATAATACAAGTGTCTATCTCAGGGTTTTATGAGAGTTAATATGTATCAACACAACAACGCCATTGTGATTACTCAATAAATATATAAATAAACTAGATACTATGCTTAGCACAGAGAATACAAAGATAAATAAGACACAGTTTCTACCTTCTGTGAGCCCAAATGTGATGGGAATGAGTCTTAGATGAAATGACAAAGCTAGGACTGAGATTCAAATTTTTCCCCCATAGAAATCTAATAGTCTTTTTATGATACCAAATTGTTTCATCAGTGTATACTGTCAAGCACAGGTTAATTAGAGATTAATCAATGAAGATTTTTCGAAGAGTTGAAGAGGTTTGACTTAAGCAAAGGCAAAAGAACTTAGTAAACACCAGTACTGTTCATCCAGGACACGTTTACCGGAGCCCTGTCATGCGCCATCCACAGTGGTAGGTACCACAGAAGGGACACTAAAACAAAGCAGTGTACCAGGTCTGTCCAGAAGGGATCCAGCCATGTAATATGAAAAAAGAGAGACATTTGTTGAAGAAGGTACAAGGTAAAAGAAACGTTATACATCGGACAGTGATGCCTCAGTCTCCTTCAAAGTAGACACCTTGGGACCTCACCCAGTTCTCCCAGTCACCGTTAGCTGCCCTGTTGTACTTTCCTGAATCTCATCAATGGTCTAAAATCTCTCCCCTTTCAAAGGTGATTTTAGTTTTGGGAAAAGGCAGAGTCACAGGACACCAAATCTGGGCTATAGGGGGATTGAGTCACCTGGGTGGTTTGATGTTTTGCCAAAAAACTCTGCACAAGATGTGATACATGAGTGGGTGCATTGTCCTAATGAAGCTGCCAGTCACCAGTTGCCTATGGCTTCGGCCTTCTGAGTCATCTGAATAGTTCCAGGAAGGAATGTTGCAGCTTAACACAAAATGTGCAGATTTGTTGCTCTGCTCGCTCAGGCATTGTGAGTGCAACAGCCTCACAGCGCACCTGCTCACTCAATGTCATCTACTGCCCCCACTGACCGGGACAGTGAAGTCATCATCGTTATGCATGTGCACTCCAGTCCATTCTCCTTGGCTGCCAGGTTACATCGATGTCATGCAAACCATTCTGGTTACATTAACAATGGCTGGACTTGTTCTTGACAGACCTTGTATAGTCTACCTCAAGGAGATTTCTCAGTCAGGAAAAATGTGTACATGGAATGTGGTGAAGGTCCAAAGCTAATCACTGTGCAGCTGAGACTAACAGTTAATCACAACGTGGGAAATCAGGGGAAATTTTCCTGGAGATGGCTTTGAACTATACCTTAAAGGTAGGCAGGATTTGGACATATGCTGATGAGTGGAAAGGGCATTTCAAGCAGAGGGAACAGACTACACAAGAGCATAGAAATGGAGATGCAGGAGGAAGGCACGTTCAGGGAACAGCAAATAGTTCAGCTTTAATAGGGCGTGGGGGGTGTGAAGAGCCATGACAAGTATAAATGGAAAGATTCGCCAAGGCTAGAGAAGGTTAAAGTCATTTCTGTTGTTTTTTTCAGGACTCTCTTCGTGTGGTCCTGGGAAACCTGGACAACCTGCAGCCATTTACTACAAAACACTTCATTGTGTTTCCCTGTATCCTTTCACTTCTGGATGGGAGGAAGCTACAGTGCAAACTGTTGATTGAAATAGAAGCACCAGACCTATAGGCAGTTTGGAGGGTAGGTCAGGGAAGGAGAAAGAGTCTCATCCCTAAAGTAGTGCTCAGGTACTCGCACTGATGTCTTCCCTCACTCCTTAGCACCATTTCCCAGATAAAAGCAGATGGGAGAGAGTGTCCCACTTGAAATTCAGACATGGGGAAATCGCCTTGGTCCCCTATCCATTTGTTTTGACTCTGTACGTGGAGATGAAATGGTTTCATGAGACTCTGTCACCTGGTAAGTAGAATGCTGGAAGTGTGGGTGGCAGAGAAGAGAAAGGGGGAAGGCCGAAGCTTCATGGGTTAGCGGTGCCAGCTGAGTATGGTGAACGGTTGGCCAGGCTAGGCTGTATCTCCACACTGTGTGGAGGTCAGAGCATGTGCTCCAAGCCACACTGCATGGTTCAAATCCTGGTGGCTCCGTCACTTAATCTGTGTGCCCTCAGATAAATTTCTTAATCTTTCTGTGCCTGCTTTGTGAAATGGTGAAGAATAATAACAACACCCATCTCCTTGAGTCGTTAAAACCATTAAATATATAAATACTGGAAGATGGAAAGTAAGTACAAAGTCTGCCAGAATGACCACTCAGTGCAAGAAACCTATTATACAAATACTTCCTTCCATTTTAGAATATTCCGTGACTTTCACTGCATATCTTAAAGTGATACCTCCCAATTTTTAACCTCTAAGGGCCATTACTCTTTTCTCATAGAGGGACAAGTAGACACCTGCCAGTTTGATTTGGGAAATGGTGCCAACACCTTGCCGCAGAATATCTCCCCAATTGATTTGCCCCTGATGCCTGATGTTCCACCTTTTGTTTCATAGTAGGGACCCCCAAATAAGTGGCGTATTGTTAGAACATGGTGTGAAGCACACTCTGGGATTTTCAGCTTGTGGTTCTAACTCGGGGGAGGAGTACATTTTTGAAGACACTGTATTTCTAGGGTGAGTGGTACCAGGCAGAAGGGAGAAGGGTGTACACAGAGGTTGTGTGCAGGACAGTTTTGAGAAGTAAAATGGTAGCCAGAAATCCAACTCGATCCGTTATGACATTTCAATTTCCTGTTGTAGGAAAACCCATAAACGACAGTGCTCTTGGGTTGGTAAGTTGCCTTTTGTATGTAATGTAAAAATTGCCTTCACTGCTTCTTGTCATAAGAAAATCCTGCTCTAGTCTCTCCCTTTAACTTCGTCCCTCGTTGCTGCCCAGGTCCAATCAGAACGGTATGCATGAAACCACCTCTTTCCCCGTGGCTAGATTAAGACTGTCTCTCACAGACTGTCTGCCCTACTTGCAAAGCTGGCAGAGTTGCCTCTGGCAACTTAAAGGTGGGGCGTTCACTGTGCCCTCCTGAACCGTGAGCACCTCTGGAAAAGAGGAGTCACAGGCATCTGGTTCCCGTCTGAAGGTCCTAACTGAGCGGGAGGCAGCAGGAGCCATGAGGAAGAAGCGGCAACACACGGAAGTGTCCAGCTCTCCCAGCAGGCCCGGGCTGGACAGGTCAGTGGTGTCGGGAGAAAGTCAAAATCCTACGTTCCACTTACACTTTGCCAGCTGTTGCTGCTGGTTGATCTTGTCCTTGAGCAAGTCACTTTCTCAGGGTTTCATTGGTACCTGGCTGTTCCCGTGCGTGGGCGCAAATTGGTATTTGCAGTGTAATTTGAACAGTACCTTCTTCAGTAAAATAGGATTCTTCTGTTTATTAAGATGGAGGCTGAGGGAAAAATGCAATCAGATCTCTACAAATACACCTAAAATATATTTAGTGAGTACTGACTATGGTTGTACTACCAAAAAACCACAGAAGACACAAGATTAAAAAAGTTCCAGGATAACCCTGGCTAGTGTATCTCAGTGGATTGAGCGCGGGCCTGTGAACCAAAGGATCGCAGTACGATTCCCAGTCAGGGCACAGGCCTGGGTTGCAGGCCAGTTCCCAGCAGGGGACGCTGGAGAGGCAACCATACATTGATGTTTCTCTTCCTCTCTCCTTCCCTTCCCCTCCCCTCTAAAGTTAAGTAGATAAAATCTTTAAAAACAAAGTTCCAGGATATATAAGGACATAGGGAAACCCTCAAGAGAGTAAGAACAAGTAATATGTAATTCTCTTTTGCCTAGTGAACAGTAAGCTTTTATAACTCTATGTTAAAAGATAGTCCAATCTGAAATATAAATGTCTGCAAGAGGGTATGTAACAATTACTGGGTGAGGTGCTGTTCTATTCAGTGGAATACTGAGCACATCCCTAATATGTGGAGGTGGCTGTTGAGGAGGCTACTTATTTTCTTCTGATTCCCTGGCAGGGACAGAGCGAGTCAGAAAGACAGTTCAGTCATTCTGGTTAGCACCCAGAGAGGGCTGCTGGAATAATCCAAGGTGTGGTTGGCTCCCCAGCCCAGAGTGCTGTCGGCAGCCAGCAGCTGCTCCCCCCCACACACACACCCACACACCGGGACTGTGGGCCCCAGGTCGGTCAAGAGCAGTGAAGGTGGATCTCAGGAAGCTGAGTTCGACATCCTCCTAATGCTCGTGGCCCCGAGGGGCTAAGAAACTCCTTTCCCGGCCAGGTGGAATGCGAGGGCGCTCGGAGATGTGAAGCTTTGCGCGGTTCCCCTTCACCGAGTTTACCGAGGTGAAGCTTCACGTCTTCCCTTTCTCCGAGTTTGTAGCAGCACCAGGCATTTCAAAATCGGATACCTGCTGTCAGTCCATTTTCCTTTTCTCAACCACTAGATCCCTAAATGTCTCAAATTAGGATTCTACTGTGAATTAAAGCAGCACCCAAAGGGAATTTGGCCACACAATTTCATCTGCAGGCCAGGAGTGGTATAAAAATAGCCAACCTGCTGAAATATTCATTTGAGCCACGTTTGCTTGAATGTGGCAATGTTGTTTCTGTCAGTAACGATTCCTGGTTTTCCCACCTCAGGGCCAAAGTGAGGACTTCCAGCCAAGGTCCCAGCAAAAAGAAGCTCCTCGTGGAAACCAGCAGGGTAAGTACAACAGTGGGGGCTTCCAGGCTCCGACTGTTCCCGCTCTGTTATGAGCCAGTCGGGGTTCCAGTTACCGCACATCTCGGTCCTTACGACCGAATTGACTGGACTCGTTCTCAGGTTTCGCCGATTGCAGAGTACGTTCAACCATTCTGTCCTTGCCACAACCTGTCCCAGCCGTAGCTGCATGACACTATGCACGTCGCTGAATCCTTTTGTTAAGAGCTCTTTCCTCGGCTGAAAAAGCCGCTTCTTATGCTCTGCCATTCAAATAAGAAAAGAGGGCTGTTGAACTGAGGTGGGATCCAGTATAGGCTTTTCTCTTTAGAAACTTTTTGCCTTCAGCTACACTGGGTCTGAATCTAGGAACATCTAGTTTCCACAGGCAAGCTAGGCACGTAATGGCACAGGACGGTGGTAAGAGAGAACTTATTTAGAGCAGGGGTGGGCTGGCCCCAACAGTGTTTGATTTTATCTGTGAGGTCTGTTCCCCGTTTAGATCTTTCTGTATCTGCTACTCCACTTCAGGGCTTGTTTTGCATGATAGTCTCCAAAGTAGCGCCCTTTTTCTTTCCTTCTCTCTTGAAACGGCTGTTATTTGTGCTTTTTTCCTCTTCTGTCTCCAAAGTAGTTCTGACCTTAAGTATCCACACATTCTTAACTTACCTCCCTCACCTTCCCAGGACCCATTGCATGAGCAGTTAGCAAGCAAACATATGTGCATTCATTCAGTGAACTTAGTTACTCAGTGTACTATGTGCCAGGCACCAGGGAGCCCTGGCTGGTGTGGCTCAGCAGATTCATCACTGGCCTAAGAACCAAAGGGTCGCTGGTCCGATTCCCAGTCAGGGCACCTGCCTGGGTTGTGGGCCAAGTCCCCAGTAGCAGGTGTGTGAGAAGTACCCAATTGATGTATCTCTCATACTTTAATGTTTCTCTCCCTCTCTTTCTCCTTTCCTTCCACTCTGTCTAAAAATAAATAAATAGAAAGTTAAAAAAGAAAAGGAACTAGGGATAGCACGCCCTCTCCTAAACACCCCAACTGTGTAATTACTGATCGATGTGCCACTTGCAGGAGTGTAGGAAGCGCCGGATGCAGAGGGGCCGCAAGGGAGAACCTGCCCCAGACCGGGAGGCTTCCTCTGTCGGCTCAGAGAATCAGAGCCAAGAGGGGGGAGAGCAGTGCTTTGGGGACTGCGAGCCAGTCAGTGCCCCTGGCGCTTGGCGGTGCCGTCAAGATTACAGGACTCCCTGTAAAGTATTTTTAAGTAGAAAAGTGAAATGATTTTCACTCCTAAGTGATTATTCTGTCTCCTGTTTGCAAGGCATTGTGTTAGTCGCAGTGGTACGCCCGTACATGTAAAACAGGGTTTCTTTCTAGGAGTTCATTGTTGAGTTGGAGAAAGAGTGAATTCTCTGGGGCTCAGACTTCTACCTGTGTCGGCAGGTGTGGGCTGCAGGGCTTCCTTGTGCCCTGTAGCTCCGTGGGCCAACCAGTCCATGGAGTGATGATTCTGGGCAGATCGGTGCCCTCTTCTATCCTCTCATCCCTTTGAGAGGGAAGAAGAACTGAAAAAGTACATGACGCTCCAGAGAACAAAGACACTCTATACAGCCAACATAATAATTGTTAAAGGAACATTTCCTTCACTCTCTACCCTTTGTACCTTCCTATTCTTAGTTTGACAGATCATCTCCCTCCAGCACTGTACCCACAGTTTCTTATTCAACATAATTACCTTTCAGCCTGATACTGAATTTAGAAAAAACTCTGAGCAAAAAAACCCAAAAGGAACATGTTTATTGGTTTTGACTCAAAGCCCAAAAACAGTCTCCATCGTAGACCCTGTTCCCAGAGAGAGGATTTCTCCTAAATTAAAGTGATCACAGTGACTTTCAGTGTGAGCCCCTTGAGCTGGAAAAATCGAATTTGCTCCTATGGCCCAACGCTTAATATTTTCTCTGTCCTTCGGGGGAAGTTAGGGTGTAGGATCGCCACGTGGATTACGCCTGCCTGAACACACTGGAAGCCTGAGTGGGGAAGCGTAGAAGAACACAACACATACCTGAACAAGGTCTCTGGTTCCGTAGAAGGTGTTCTGGGGAGAACAGGAAGGAAGGGCAGACCCATTCCCTCTGTTACCCACGTCCTAGACCGAGAGATCCGGACGCTGGAAGAAGAGAAAAATGGGGGAAGAACAGATGAACGGTCCAGAAGCACAACATACTGTCACGTGCATAGTTTAGTTTATTTGTTTGCCACCTCTGTTTAAACTGTACTTCTAAGCAGATCTGGCCCTGAACATACACAGGACAACCTTGTGTTTAGTTTTTAGGGTATTGTGTCCTGTTGGATGTCCCAGGTGATACCTTCAGTCTTTTTTTTTTTCATTATATTTTATCAGTTATGCTATTATGGTTGTCCTGATTTTTCCCCCTTTACCCCCCTCCACCCAGCACCCCCCACTCCCTCAGGCCATCCCCCCACCCTTGTTCATGTCCATGGGTCCTGTACATAAATTCCTTGGCCACTCCATTCCCTGTACTGGACTTCACATCCCCTTGGCTCTTCTGTAACTATTTGTGCTTCTTAATCCCCTCGCCTCTTCACCCAGTCCCCACGTGCCACTCCTGTCTGGCAGCCATCAAGATGGTCTCCATATCCATGATTCTGTTTCTGTTCTTGTTTGCTTAGTTTGTTTTTTAGATTCAATTGTTGATAGATGTTTATTTATTGCCATTTTATTGTTCGTAGCTTTGATCTTCTTTTTCTTAAATAAGTTTCTTTAACATTTTATATAATAACGATTTGGTGATGATGAACTCCTTTAATTTTTTGTCTGGGAAGCTCTTTATCTGCCCATTGATTCTAAATGATACTTTGCTGCATGGAGCAATCCTGTCTGTAGGTCTCTGGTTTTCATGACTTCGAATATGTCTTGCCAGTCTCTTCTGGTCTGCAGAGTTTCTTTTGAGATATCTTAATGCAGCTCCTTTGTAGATAACTAACTTCTTTTCTCTTGCTGCTTTTAAGAATCTTTTAGGGTTAAAATTTATCTTTAACCTTTGGCATTTTAATTATGATGTATCTCAGAGTGGGCTTCTTTGCATCCATCTTGCTTCCTGGACTTGCATGTCTATTTTCTTCACCAAATTAGGGAAGTTTCCTTTCATTTTTTTTTTTCAAATAGATTTCCAACTTCTTGCTCTTTCTCTTCTCCTTCTGGCCACCCCTATGATGAGAATATCGGACCTCTTGGAGTTGTCCCAGAGGCTGCTTATATACTGTCCTCATTTTTTTGGATTGATTTTTCTTCTTGTTGTTCTGATTGTTTTTTACTTCCTTATGTTCCAAATTATTGATTTGATTCTTGGCTTCATTCACTCTACTGTTGTTTCTCTGTAAATTGTTTTTTATTTCAATTAGTGCATCCTTCATTTCTGACTGCATCTTTTTTATGCTGTTGAGGTCCTCACTAAGTTCCTTGAGCATCCTTATAATCAGTGTTTTGAACTCTGCATCTGATAGATTGCTATGTCCATTTTATTTAGTTCTTTTTCTGGAGTTTTTATTGTTTTTTTTTTATTTTTTATTTGGGCCATGTTTCCTTGTCTCCTCGTTTTGGCAGCCTCCCTGTGTTTGTTTCTATGTATTAGGCAGGGCTGCTTTGACTCTGTGTCTTGGTAGTGTACCCTAATGTAGTGGGTGTCCTACAGGGTTCAGTGGCACAGCCTCCCGTACCACCCAAGCTGGGTACTTGAGGTATGGCCTTTGTGTGGGCTGAGTACACCCTCCTCTTGTAGTTGAGCCTTGCTTGCTGTTGGCAGGTCAGTGGGAGGGATTAACCCAGGCCAGTCAGCTACAAGGATTGGCTGTGACCACTGACCACCACCCTTCACCCTCCATGGAGGATCAGCTGTGTAGGGGCAGGGTGGTGGTGCTTTGACATTGTCTGTAGCTGTCCACTGGGTGCACTGGCCCTGGGTTTCCTGGGTGGTGCAGGCCAAGGTCAGCCTCCACTCCACCTGTGTTTTGCCTGGGGTCACCCTGCCTGAGCTGTAGAGCAGTCTGAGATGGCTGGATTTGTGCTGGGCTTGGAGATTCCTAGTAGATTCCTAGTGAATCTAGGCTGGCGGCTGCTGCTGCTGCTGGTGCTGGGCCTGGGGCCTCACTGAGACCTGCTTGTCGCAGAGGATTTAGGAAGTTGTGCAGCAAGAGCTGGGACCAGCCACTCATATGCAAAAGCAGTTTGGGTGGGCAAGTTGGGTGGGTCAGAGTCTCTGGGGATCTTCAAGACAGGACACCCTCGGTCTTATTTCAGGCTATAATGCTTTTTGCGCTCAACATTTTCCTAAGAAGAACTCCCAAGATTTCAGGACAGAAAAGCTGTGTTACCTTGTGAGGGGACGCTTCGTGTTTCGGAAGTAGGCTTGACTGCTGCCCTAGGGCTTTTGCCCTTTTGGTTCCCACTACTACCCTTATTAGATGCTTTCATTAGGGCCAGTGCAGCAGGATTTAGCCCCAAACCATAGTTTCATTAAATTTGTAAGAATCATTCCCTTAAGCTAGAAATCAGAGCTGCACCCTCTGAATTCCATATCTGCGCTGACTGGAAGAGGGTAAAAGATGGTCTCCTTCCTTTGTAAAGTTTCCTTTCACTTTTTAGAAAAATCCTCACCCGAGGATATGTTTATTAATTTTAGAGAGAGGACGAGATAGCGAGGGAGAAAGAAACACTGATGTGAGAAACATGGATCGGTTGGTTGCCTCCCATGTTCGTGTCCCAGCTGGGGATTGAACCCACAACCTAGGTATGTGCCCTGACTGGGAATCAAACCCGCAGCCTTTTGGTATGCAGGACAGTGCTCCAACCAGCTGAGCCACTTGGCCAGGGCGCCTTTCACTTTTATCGGAATATGACTTAAGTGGCTGTTTATGTGGTCGAGAATGTGATGGTTTGTGGAAAAGCTCATGTCGGAAATACCAGCTTATATTAGGGAGGAGGCTGTATCCTAACTTTCCTAGAGCTTGCCATGCTTCTTCCTCCCAGACCTACCTTGGTATTCTGCAGCCCCTTGCTGTACAATTAATCCTTCACTGGCAAAATGGCCCAAGGAACTCCCCAGCACCGCTGGGTAGTCAGGCCCTCAGGTTCTGCCCAGGTGAGGGGAGTGGTCAGTTGGCAGAGATTCCCAAAGAAAATGTATGAACCGTGTATCTGACTATCAGGGCGTCTGCTGGAAATGTGAGCTTGGGACCAGGTTGTAGGATGCCCAAGGAAGCCTTGTGAAGTGATAGCACAAGGAGAAATCGTGCGATTACGTTGTAGCATGCTGGTTGCTTATGCTGTGATCATGTTTCTCCTGCCCAGCTCTAGCCGTGCTGATTATATTTATTTGTTAGTGGCACTGTGCCTTTGCACTTCCTGTCCCTGTCTGGAATGCCCTTCCTCTCACTACCTCCTCACCCCCGTTAGGACAGAATACTACTTGTACATCAGGGCTCCGTGCAAACAGCACTTCCCCTGTGAAGTCTTCCTCCACTCACCGCTGCCTGCTCTGTTCAGGTCCTGCTCATCACCCACACTCTCCGTAGACGCATGGGGCAGTCTCATCGCTCTGTCTTACAGCACTTGGTCTGCGTGTCAGCTTTACCACATAGACCATACATCTCTCCCCAGGAAAGTTGGGGTTCTCCTGACTCCTGGAATCTCAGAATTCTGTCCGTATTATTAATAGTTGGCACTCGGTAATACAGAAAGATAAATTAAACCCAGCTTGGTTTGTTCTGGCTCTTAAATCACGTGGTTTTAGAAGAACAGTGGTTCAGAAGCTGAAATGGGAAAAGGACAGTCATTAAGACAGAAATCTGGAACCTGCTTGTACAGTCAGAAGCCAGGCCCCAGCGCTGTGAGAAGTCAGCTCACCAGCAAATAACATTCAGACCCTCAGGCTGTATTGGAGTAAAGTTGAAAACTTTTCTTGGTCCTCTTTTTATCAGAACCCGGAAACAAAAACCCAGCAGGAATGTCAGGAGACCTCAGCATTTGGTGTCACTGATGTCCAGGAACAGGGTAGGTGCTGGGAAATTCATTTATTGTCCTTTAATAATTGTCCCACCCCCTTTAGTTTTCTGGTGAGCAGAGTAGCACAGAGCTCGGTCTTCGCCTGCTCAGTGGGTGATGTGCCTTGTTCCCATGGGGGTGCCCGCTGGCACCCTCCAGTCTGGGGCCTGCCCTTGTCTGGGGTCATAGAAGCCACCCCTCATCCAGCTCCCAAGAGGAGTGAAAGGAGGCAATGCATGTCCTTCCGTGCTCTTGATAGTGAAACTGGTGCTCCCAGTGTTTCAGAGCATTTCCGTGGGGTGATGTACTTCGCTTTTCTGTCTGAATGGAGAATGGTCCCAGGGAGGCCGTCTCTTCACCTCTTCCCTTCAGGCGTTGGTGTTAACACTGAAGGTGCAGCAGGTGCTGGCGGGGGGTGGGAATGCATGTCCGAGTGTTGCCCTTCCAGCTTGCTGATCTTCTAACCAGCGTGGGGATCCTGTGTGGACTGCAGTTATCACAGAGGCAGGGATGTAATGAGCAAGGGAGTTCTTCGACAAGTTGTCATCCATGTGAAGACACCAGCCGTGGTGGGTGGCTGGGAGTTGAATAGTGTAAAAATCTCAGGGGTCTGACTTTGAAAATACTCCAAGGCCAGGATGGCATCTCACTGATTGAAATTGGGAAGTCAGAACAAACAAGCCACCTGTCTTCCAAAAACTCCTGGTGTGAAGCCACTCTTGGCTCATGCCGTGAGTGTCTTGCCTTCTGCTCCCATGAAAGTAGCCTACAGACTAAGAGCTTTCCCTGCCTGCGTGTTTTCCTTGCAGATTCTAGGTGGGAGGACAGCCAGGCAGGGGACATTATCCTGCCAGGGCAGCAGAGCAGTCCGTCTCCACCCAAAGGACCCGCAGACCTGGGGACCAGCGGCTTCTTCGGGTTTTTAAGGTAAAACGGACTTCTCTCCTGCCATCAAACTGCGACCCGGAATGAAATACCTCCTGAGTCGGCCTCCCCGAGTGTCTCAGGGACTTAGAATGGAAAGAAGGCTGATTCCCTGCGCAGTCGCTACTCTGTTCAGGAGAGAGGATGCAGCTGAGACTGAGCACGAGGACTCTAACTGGGAATTAATTTTTTTTAATTTTTAAAATATTTATTTTTAGAGCTAGAGGGTGGAAGAGAGGGAGAGAAACATCCACGTGCGAGAGATACATCGATCAGTTGCCCCTTGCACACCCCTCAACTGGGGACCTTGCCCAAAACCCAGGCGTGTGCCCTGACTGGAAATCGAACCATCGACCCTTGGTCCGCAGGCAGGCACTCAGTCCACCAAGCCACACCAGCCAGGGCCCTAACTGTGGATTTACTAAAAACTGCATCCTGTCTGTTTTCACACAGCCCACCCCGCCCAGTGCGCCCAGCCTTGGGCCTGGTTCCATGAGTACTGCCTGGACAGAGGCTGTTCTCATTGTATTTGGCTCATTTAGATGATTGGTGACCAGAATGCTTCTATTCTCCCCTCTGAGTCTAGGCTGTGTTCGGAGTTATTTTTGCAGAGGACAGTTGCAGATCCCTTTATCTGTCTAGAGCTCAGCCATCCTGGTGCAGTTCTGTATTTCCCCGCCTGAGTATAATCTAATTTGGGTCCATTTTCAAATGCTGTTCCAGACTCACATTTCCACTCAGTGGTTCCCCAGAGCCAAAGGCCCAGCTAATGGGGCCCTAATGCGGCCTGGGAGGGGAGAACGGGGCCTCCGGAGCCTCAACCTGCTCTGCTTGCTTTCTTGCAGCTCTCTCTTCCCGTTCCGGTATTTCTTCAGAAGGAGCAGCCAGTGAGCCTTCCAGAGGTGGCGGTGGCGAGTGCCCTCCCCCAGTGACTGTCCTCTGCTCGCCCCAGACTCCCTAAGTCCCCTAGTTGGTTTGCCCTGTCCTTTACCCCTTTCCAGTGAAATGGTTTTGTTTTTTTCAACTTAAAACGCTAGAAAAAGCATGGAACTTTCTAAAATGTTCTAGTTTGAGAATTGTACTGTTCTGAGGTTCAATTTAGGTCTTTCATCTCTAGCACTTAGGATCCTAAGACAATAAATTATTTATGAACAGTTATTGACTGAGTTCAGTAAAACAGTGTGAGAGAGAGCAAACTCTTCCCGCAAGATACAAGGAAGCAATGCCTGAAACCCCCTGGGCGAACCACACCTGCTTGTCCATAGGATGCTGTGTTGGGGTGGGGTCTGACCCACACAGCAGACTTGAAAGACCCCCACTGGGGTTAGGGAATGGGGTCTTGCAAGACTTGCTGATCTGGGTCCTGCTGACCCTCAAAACTCATCCTCCCCAGTGCACCCAGCTTGGCCCGAAGCGCAGCCTCTCAGTAGGTAAATGCTTCCCGCCCACCTGTCCGTCCCTCTGGCGTTTGACAGCGATGTGGGTGAGTTTACCGATTACGGAAGTCGGTCCAGGTTAGGGCCCCTGGAGAAGACCAGGCCTTGAGCTCTGTCATGTAACGCAGGGCTGACCCCGCACACACAGGTTAGGTTCGTGCCTGTGGCCTCAGAGGATGAAAGCAATTGTTGGGAATTTGGGGAAACTCATTTTAGCTGAGGACTCAGGAATCACTTTTTTAACTGTTCGAGATGTTCGATATTAGAGTGGACCACCTTGTGAAGTAATGCACCCTTGTCACCTCTGGTCTTCCAACAGCTGATTTATCTGTCAGGTGCTGGAAGGTTCCTGTGATGTTGGGGCTGGACTGCTTGGGTCCCTTGTTTTGCTGCCTTCACCTTGGGGTGGGGGAGAAGAGGCAGCTGCTGTGAAAGGGCCTGGGCCCTGGGGAGAGGAGGGCTGAAGAGGAAGCGCCATCTATCAGGACTGGAGGACTAGGGACAAGTTGCATTTACAGCCTTTGTCCCAAGCGTGACCTGCTTCATGAAGTGCCAGAAGGCACAACTCCAGTCTGGAGGCCCGAGAGCGTTCTGACTCTCACTAGCTTATAGTGAAGCCGAGGCTAAGTCGCTTTCTCTCTGGTTCTGATTTTCTCACTTGGAAAACGAAGAAGTAGGATTTGTTGGGCTGTCCAGTGGCTTCCAGCTCTGGCAGCCTGTGCGGCTGGCTCTGCCCTTCTGAGCAGCTGGGTGAGGCAGTGGCCGTGGGTGTGGGGGCCAGATCACTGCGAGCTTCCTTGTGGATTCCACCCCCACCTCAGGCCCGCCCCTACCATTAACCAGGGGTCTTTTTCCAACTTGCCACATTCTTGTCCCAGGTCTCAGCACCATGCACGGCCAGCAGGGGAATTGGGTTCCCACCTGGCCCTGACATGAGCTGGCTGGGTGACCTTTAGTAACATTCCTGCTCTGAGCCTCAGCTACCTCACCTGTAACCAGAGCCGGAGCTGGACTAAACCATGGGATTTTCGGGATCAACAGCTTCAGGCTCTTCCAGGAGTCAGGTCCCTGTTGTTCCAGGGACTCCGGTGGGGTGGGAGGTGCCCACTTTGTAGCTGACCCCCAAATGAGAAGCCTTCCATTTGACAGTGCAAGTGAAGCTCTGGCCATGGATTTAGAAGCCCCTTCTCCCTCCAGCTCTGCCACCAGGCACATCTCAGGAGATGGCTTCTGGTGTCGTCCCCTTGTGTGTAGGAACCTCCCCCCACACCCCGTCCTCTGCTGTGGGCTAAGGAGGCAGGCAGGGCTGAGTTTAGTAGTTTTAAGGTTGGGGGGTGAGGCCCCCAATGTGACACTGTCCTGCCCAAGGCCACACAGCAAAGAGAACCCAGGTGGCCACATCTGGGCCCAATCTGGGCCCCCTTCCTCTACCTCTGCAAGGCCGCCCCCCCCCCCCCCCCCCCCCAGCTCCTAGGCTTTTCTCCACACTTCACTTCCCCAGCCCTGGACAGAGGGGAAGCAGAAAGCAGCAGAAGCCACCCTCCCAGGACTACCCCTCAGCCAAGGGCAGGGGCTCCCAGGTGGGATTGCTCCGAGGCCTCTGGCCAGGCCGCAGCCTGAAAGCCGATCTCCGAGAGGGCGTGGCTTCCAAATTTGGGCAAATAAAAATCTGGAGAAGCAGCACGGGCCGGGCCAGAGACTAGCAGCAGGCACAGGAGCTACTCAGGAAGCCGTTCAGTTCCTGGCCTTGGAAGTGGTAAGCCCCTGGGGCAGAAGGAGCCGTGAGAAGGCCTGGGGTCCTGCAGGCCACGATGGGGCAGATGGAGGGAGGCAGATGTCTGTGCCCCATGTGGTGGCAGAAATGCAAGGGGAAATCACCACGGGGCTGACACACAAGTCACATCCAGAGACAGTGGCTCACACTGACACCCACCTAGAGAGACACAGGCAGACACACATACCCCCAAGGGCAGGTGCAGGGAAAGACAAGCCCCACTCACGGTTCGCCTCACCCCAGTCCGACAGGCCCACCGAGCCTGGCCCATTCACCTGGGAGCAGGCGGCCTGGAAAGAACTCCCCATCCACCTGCAGACGTCCGTCTGCTCACAGCGTCTCAGATGCCCATGGCGTCCTCCCAAACTCTGCTCTCCTGCCTCCTGCTCCTGGTGGTCACTGAAGCCTGGGGTCAGCAGGCGGCCATCCCAGGCTGCCACTTGCACCGTGAGTAACCCTGGGTGCAGAGAGCTGGGTGGGCGCAAAGAGCTGATGTGGGTGGAGGGGCAGACAGCCCCCCAACGGCCCCGCACTGAGGGTACAGGCCACCGGCTAGGCGAGTCTTCGCAGAGGTGCTGTCTACCACTCGCCTGTGTCCTTCTAGCCTTCAACGTGACAGTGCGAAGTGACCGCCAAGGCACCTGCCAGGGCTCCCATGTGGCACAGGCCTGTGTGGGTCACTGCGAGTCCAGCGCCTTCCCTTCCCGGTACTCCGTGCTGGTGGCCAGTGGCTATCGACACAATGTCACCTCTGTCTCTCAATGCTGCACCATCAGTGGCCTGAGGAAGGTGAGGGTGCCCAGCCCCACGGTGGCTCATTGTGGGCTGGGGGTGACAGACGGAACTGGGGTCTGAAGCGGCCTGAGGAAGAGGACTAGAACGTGGACCCCTCACCCACAGGTGAAGGTGCAGCTGCAATGTGGGGGGGACCGGAAGGAGGAGCTAGAGATCTTCACGGCCAGGGCCTGCCAGTGTGACATGTGTCGCCTCTCACGCTTCTAGCCCACCCTTGCCCCGCCTCCCTCCGCATGGTCAGAGGGACCGAGTTGGAGGACTTCGAATCCAGCCTCAGCCTCATTGAAGATGGTGGCTTCCACCCTCTTTAAGATTCAGTGACCGTCACCTCCTGAAAGGAGGGGTGCGTCTGCCTCTTCCCTGTTTCTGCCTGGCCTCCTAAGCAGCCTTTGATCATTTCACTTTCCTCCTGGTCCCCACCCCTTAATAAATAAGCAGTCCTTGAGTTTCTGTCTTTATTAAGTCTACCCCCAGCCAGGGGGAAGGGACAGACCACAGTAACAGTGACCCCACCTTGCCTCAGGACATGGGGAATCTCTTCTGCCTGTGCCCTCACCCCTCCTCCTGCCCAATAAATAAAAAGGGGACAAGAAAGTACAGGGGGAGGGAGGGGAGGGAAGGAGGGTGCCCCAGGCCCAGGACAGCATCTGTGTTGGGGGTGAGCAGGGGAGAATAAATAGACCATGGGGCCCATGGTGGGGTGAGGAAGGACCTCGCGCTGGCACGAGGTGCGGGGTATGAGGAGCTGAGTCCCACTGCCCTTGGCCGGGAGCAGGGGCTGGGGACCTGCTTGCAGTCCAGGGCCCAGCTTCTCAGGGCAGGGAGATCCCTGATGGCAGCTTCCGGTCAAGCTTGCCCTGGTCAAGTCCTGCCACAAGGGCTTGAGAGTTCTGTTGCCAGGACCACCAGCTCCTCTCCTCCTCCCCCACAGTGAAAGCTGCCCACACTGGGCCAGGCAGGGAGCCCTCCAAGCCCACTCTGGTGAGGCCAGGGGTAGGTGTGTGTCTCTCTGGGCCCCTGGGCAGGAGAGGGATGGAGGGACTGATAGCTCTGGGTTGAGTGCCTCCCCTTCCACGGGATCTCTAGCTCTGACCCCCACCGGCGGCCACCTGGGGTGTAAGGCGCTGGAGGGGGGCCTCTTTGGCCCCCTGGGTCCCCTGTAACCGGCGTAGCCGTAGCTCCTCCAGGCCTTGCCACAGCTCCTGACGCTCCCGGGCCTTCTGCTGCTCCCTGGGGAGAGAGGGTGAGGCAGCTCCCCTACCTGCGGCCCTGACTTTGTTCGGTCTAGCCTCCCTCACCACCGCCTCATCTGCAAAGGGACTCTATGGGAACCTTCCCCTCCTGGAAGGTCACTGAGGACAGGCTGGTCCTGGAGCAGATGGGTTAGCCTGGCCCTGAGCAGCAAGAGATTGGGGGGGGGGGGTCAAAGCTCCGTACCTGGAAGGGGCACCTGGGAGGGTGATGGGACAATGCAGTGGGGGGCGGGCAGACGTGGGCCACACTTGCCAGGGATGTAGGGAGGGACTTTAAGTATCTGATCGATCAGATTCGGGGTCATCCTCCTGGGCTCCCTCCAACTATGAGGAAGCACTTCCTCTCTCCTTGTCTCCCCTCCCTCCATGGCCAGGACCCCAGCACTCACTGCTGCTTTTCCAGCTTGTAGGAGGCCGTGAGCTCATCAAACAGCTTCCCATTCATCTCCATGAAGGTCTTGAGCACATTGTAGATTAGAGATACGATGGTTCTTGGCAGGTCAAGGAAGAGGGGTGAGGCAGTGATGACAACTTCAGGCTGGCCCCACCTCCCTCTCCAGGGCTCTGCTCATCCCACTGTCCCAAGCGCAGCAGCCACACACCCCAGGCACTGGCCTTGCCTGCCCCTCAGCTCTCCTCCCACGAGTAACCCCAGGTCTGGACTGGCGGGCCCTGGACCCAGCTTCCGTGGGTTAGATCAAGGCCTGGGCACTCACTGATTCCAGTGCTCCTTGGAGACTTGGTAGAGGGTCCCGAACACAGCAGGCAGCACAGTGTGGCAGTTGTCCTCAATGAGGCTCAGGATATACTCGTTGTTCCAGAAGTACAGAGCCCGCTCTGCAACCTGGGACAGTGAGATGGCAAAGTGAGCGCCCGGCAGGGGCTTCCCTGCATGTGCAAGGACTGGTATCCACCCCAGCCCAAGTCTGGGGCATCCTGCCCTCCACACACCCCCTCTCGGGCTCATCTGTCCCACTGGAGGAAGCAGGAACACCGGATTCGGTGTCTAGTGCTCAGGGCCGAATCCCAGCTCCACTACACACTGGCCACGTGACCTTGGACAAAGCTCCCAACCTCTCGGTCTCAGTTTTCTCATCTGTAAAATGGGGCTAATGATATCTACACCCCGCCCCCCAGGGCTATTGTAAGAATCAAATGAGGTGTATCAAACTGAAGTACCAGAGTCACTGTGAGGGAGAACTGACTTCCACCAGGGTACGGCTCGTGAGAATGGGAGAGAGTCTGCACACGCACATGGAAGAACACTAGTTACAGCCAGCCTCGTGACGGGGGGACCTGGCTGGGCCCTGAAGTGGGACTAATGACACTGAAGGCCACCGACAAGAGGAGAGAAGCAGTGACGGCCACGTGCAGCGCATTATTACACTGCAGTGTACCACATACGTTTACACCGTGCTCTCTGAAGCCTCATCACCACCCTCCGGAGGGACCACTGCTGGCTCACGTTACAGATGAGGGAGCATAATCACACCCAGAGGAGCACAGTGCGCTGCCCAAGGCCCCTCGGCCAGTGGGAAGCTCTACCCAGGCCTCCTCAGTCTAAGTCCAATGTCTCCCCATCACCAGATCCAAGGAGGGTCCAGAGGGTGGAGGGAGCTGTGTTAGGTCAACTGGCCAACCCTCCAAGTCCATTCCCCGGCTCCCACCCTCACCGGTCCCCACCCCATACCTGGAAATGGGGGCTGGACACACAGCGAGCCACCTGCTTGAAGAGGGGCTCCTGGATCTTCACAAACTGGGATGGCTCGATGACGTCAAGAATCTCTTCCATCTCCCCCAGGAACATCACCTGCGGGGGTGGGGAGGACACCGGTCAGCAGTCCCATCCCCCTGCCGCACGCCCGACCGCCCTCCAGAAGCTCAGCTCGCCCAGCCTCCCCCTGGCGCTGGGCCAAGCCGTCTGCGGACCTCCTTCTGGGTGCAGGTTTTCGGCCAGTATTTGAGCAGCCCCCGGATCACCTGTGGGGGCAGAGGCAGAAAAAGGGTCAGACCTGCAGGGGCAGATACTTGCCTCCTCCCCCCGAGGTACTCACATGCTCTGTCAAGGTGGCATCCTTCTCCAGGAACTGCACCACACAGTATGCCAGCTGCAGGGGCGTGGGGGGAGAAGATGGGTCAGGAGAGGACCAGGACAGGGTGCCAGACGCTTGCTTGCTTCCCGTGTCCACTCTCATTCACCAAGCACCTCCTGACAGCCTGGGACACCCCAGGCACCACACTCGGTGTGTGGGGACACAGCGGTGATCCTACAGGGCTAACGTTCAGCAAACCAGTCCTTAAAGATTTTACAGAGGGTTCCACGATCACAATCTGTATCTCAGTCTATGGGAATATAGAAGGCAGGGACTTCGATCCTGCCCAGGGCAGGGTGGAAGGGAGGGGCTGGGAAGGCTTCACAGAGCCGGTGCCTGGCAGCCTTTGAGGGTCATGGCGATGCTCTAAGGTGGACGGAACACAATTAGTGAAGAACAAGGAGGTGAGAGAGGATCCCCCGGATGGGTGACGTAGTGTGGCTGAAACCAGAGTGTCAGGTTGACCCAGGTGGCTGCACCGACTGTCAGCTCTCTGCTGGGCAGGGCCAGGCCTGGGCCTTACCTGGGCGTGAAAGACGGAGAGCGACTTAACAGAGTGCAGGGGAATCAGGACCCGGACCAGGAACTGCTTGTGCTCCGTCTTCAGGGGCAGCGCGAAGCCGTTGATGATGCTGAGGAGGGGGGCAGAAGAGAGGGGGTGGGCTCAGACTGCCAACCAGGCCTCAGTCCCTCCTCCCAGAATGCCGACGTTCAGGCTGAGGCCCAGGGGGAGTCACCTTCCTAAGATCTCTAGCAGCTCAGCCACACCATTGAAGTGCTCGAACTCATAGATGAACCTTCGAGAAGAAGAGAAGGATGCACAGGGCTGAGAGAGACTGGAGCAGGCCCGGCCGCCCCCCCAGCCATCCTACCTGCCCCCCAGACCCTGCACTCGGAGCCAACTCACTCCCAACCCAGAGGCCGTGCTCTCTGCTCGATACCCTACACCAGGCCCCACTGAGAGCCTCTCCCACCCCTGAATCGCCCTCTTCAGCCCAGCCATGGGGTCTGCTCTGGGCCCCAGCTCACACCTCTCTCCTGTGGAGCCTTCCAACTCATGTCTCCCCCAGACCCTAGTCCTCTTTTACCTGGTCCCCACCCAGTCAGCAGGCACCTGGCTGGGCCCCTTCCCTCTTCATGCCTCAACCAAAAGGATGGCAGACACTCAGAGCAGCTGCTCTGTGCTAAGGGCTCTCTAAAGCATCCTGCGAGGCAGGGCCTACTAGATCCACTGTACAGAGGAGGAACTCGGGCTCAGTAGTTCAGTGAAACTCCCCAAAGCTCATAAACTGGGGCTCTCAGGGGCTCCAAGCTCCTGAAGGACCGGGGCCATGGCTCAGCCACTCTGCAACTAATAACGATCAGAGCGAACATGTCGGAGTCCCGGGCTTGGCCCAGGTGCCGTGCTCAGAGCTTCGGAGGCGTCGCCCCATGTCATCTTGACGAATGTCCCTGATACAGCTGTGGCTCCCATTTTAGTGATGAGGAGACTGGGCGAGAGCTTAAACAATTTGCCCAAGAGCTCCTGAACATCTGAGCCCCACTCAAACACAGTCCAGAGCCAGTCCCAACTGCAAGGCCATGCCGGCACTGGTGCTCAACACGTTTGCAGAAAGGATCTTCCCATCGGTCCTTGCGGCTGAGCACAATAGGGGCAAGAGACGTAGGTCCAAGCTCCCCGGACAGACCTAGTCCCTGCAAACCTCTACTTCTTTATCTGTAAAATGGAAAATAACCATCCTTTCTCTGCTGACCTCACTGGCTTTGAATAATCAATATCAAGTAATACATTGCAAGAAAGAACTCAGTAAACCAGAGTCCCACAGGGCTGCCCAGCCTGGCAGCCTGCGCCTCAGTCTCTCCCACGGCACTGCCCCTTCCTCTCCAGGCCTCGGCAGGGCAGGCGGCAGGCACCTACCGGAGGAAGATGTGGCTGCACTGCTTGCGGATATAGGCCCGGAGCCCCAGGAACTTGCCGTAGACCCTGTGCAGGATGGTCTTGAGGTACTCGCGTTCCCGAGGGTCCTCGCTATCAAACAGCTCCAGGAGCTGTAGAACCCAGGGTCAAGGGTCAGGAGAGAGACCATGCCCAGGGAGCTTCCACCCTCTCCCCATGCCCCTCAGTGAGCCTGCCCCCGCCCCGTGGCGCCACCCAGCCTGGGCTCCCCACTTCACCATCAGGACAAACTTTTGATCCACATATCTCTTGGCCACAGAAGGCTGGAAGTCCGGGCTCTCCAAGAAACGCAGGAAAAACTCATATACCAGCTGGGGGAGGGGACAGGCAAAAAGGTGAGTTCGGGAACAGACTCCCCCACTTGCCCTGCCCGATGGCCCTCACCCCCTGCCTCGGATCTTTTTGGAAACTCCGATCCCTGCCTTCCCCAGCCCTCATACCTGCAGATGTGGCCACGAAGGCTCAAGGTTGGGCTCATCCTCTTCAGGGTCAAATTCAGGATTCTCACTGGGTGGCAGAGTCCGGAAGATATTCACTGAGATCTGAGGGACAGAGGCAGGTTCTTTGAGGAAGAGCCCTCGTCCAAAATTCTAATGGGGCTCATCACCTGCCCCAGAGAGCAAGTCACTGCTTGGCAATCACTACCTGAGGACAAAACTCATGGAAGCCCTGGGCCAGGGGCTGGGGACCCAGGGATGGACAAGCCACATCCTTGCCCTCTGTCTGGTGCAGTCCAGAGGGGAAGACGAGATGGAAAGCAGTAAGGTCTGCAGGCACTCTAGCCATCGAAAGGGAGCTTTCTGGTTTGGGCATTGAGCGAGGCTTCATGGAAGAAGCAGCACCTGAGCCAGACACGGCGATAAGGGACTTGGAGCAGGGGCGCGGGGCAGGGGAACGGGGTGCACACCGAGCCTGGCAAGAGGAGAAGCAAAAGCACAAGGTGGGACAGGCCCCGCGGCGCTGAGCAACCTATGCTGGTGGCACTGGCTGGGCGCACTGGAGGCCAGTGCGGAGGGAAGATGTGGGACTTGAGGCCAAGCAGAAAGGACTGGGTTTATTCTCCACACAGGAGCCCACAGGCAGATCAGTCCACGTTCCTGTGCCACCCCCAGCCCTCCCCAGAGGCCGGGTGATGGGTGCTCACCATGCGGATGATGTCTGGGTAGACAGGCTCAATGAGGACCCCCCGGGTGCTCCCCACACACTCCACCAGCTCGTTGAGCGCTGCCCGCTTCACCTCCTTTCCCTTCAGGTCGGCCACACAGTCCAGGAAGTCAAACATCACCCCGCACTGGGCCAGCTTCCGGCTCAGCAGCTCATGCAGCTCCGAGGCTGGCACATCTGGGAAGGAGGGAGGGGCTGAGCCTGGACGAGCCCCATAATTCTTAGGGCAGCAGCATCCCCTGCCCAGACCCCATGCTCTTGTGCCGACCCCATTCCTTCAGAGAGCAAATGACCCCTGTCCCATCCTCCATTCCTGGGGGGGAAGGAGCTTCGTCCCTCCCTCCTAACTCATACTCAGAGGGTGTGATGGCCTCGTCTGAAAGCAAGGTGATGGACCCTGAATACCTGGGCTTTCCACAGGTGCCCCAAACAGCGACCACCTCCCTCTCATAGGTGGTGTGCTCTGTTCCAAGAGCCAGAAGTGGGGTGGAGGGTCAGAGCTGAGGCTCTCTAGGTACCCCCAACACAGCCAGTCAGGCCCCGTGTCCCAGAGGCAGGGAGGCTACATGGTGATCGCAGGGAGCCGCGGGAAACACCTGTTCCAGGACCCTGCCAGCAGCTGGGCTGCTTGTAGCCTCCTGGAACCCAGGCTGTGGGCCCCACCCCTGGCCCTGGTCTGCCCCCCAGGGTGGCACCACCTCTGGAGGCCCCACCTCCAAGAATGACAGGCCAGTCATGCCATGCGTCAGCAGAGAGGGCTGGGGGCAGGGGTCAGCTCTGTCGGTGGAGTCCCTTGCCTGGAAGGGGCTTATCCAAACTCCCTCTGACGGCAGCTGCTTCTCCCCACCCCCTGCAGCTTGGCTTGCGGTGCCCTGGCAGCGGCAGTGGGGCTCACCTTTGAGTAGGGGCAGTGGAGTGAGCTCCTGCTGGTTGCTCTGATAGCGGAACTGAGAAGAACTATGGGAGCGACGAGGCCGGGCCCTGCGGAGGGAACGGCGGGAGAAGCCATCCACCTTGTCCGGTGGGGGCACAGGCGAGAGCCCCGGAGAGGAGGGGCTGGTAGGGGTACTCGCAGGGGGCAGCTTCGTCTCCATGACAGCCAGGCAGTGGTCAAGCCTTCAGAGACCCTGGGGTTCCCGCTCCCGATGGCCCTGGAGGATGCTGAGCGAGAGGTGGCTGACTAACTTGGGCCCATGCTGGAGGGGGGGGCACAACCACAGTCCTGGGCCCCCCCCCAGGGCCTTCGGCAACTGCCCAGTCCTGGGGGGGCAGGCAGGGTAGAGAGGAGGATGGCTCAGGCCTCGAGTCCTTTCTGGGGGTCACGACGAGTCCAGTTGGGGTTCCCACCCTGGCTCTTTGAAAGCGAAGTCAGGGCAGAGAGATCAGAAAGGAAGAAAAAGAGAGAGACAGAGTCAGTTTTTCCAGGAAAGCCAGCGTGCGGGTGAGTGCTGCTCAGTGCCCAAGCCCTCTTTTCCCTCCTGCCTTGCCCAGACCCCAAAGAGAGGTGCAGCCCTTTCCGTGGGAGCCCCGTCCCTCCCTTCACTCAGACTGAATGACCCAGCAGCAAACAACCCCTCTCAGAATAGAGCCTATCTCCCAAGGCAGCTCCTACCTAGATTGGGAACCCCGTTCCTCATCGCTGGCCCCTAACAGAGTGGGACCCCGTTGCTGCCCCACAAATCCCTGCAACCGAAGACTTCCCCAAGAATGGGAATCCTATCCCCATGTCATCTCCCTTCTAGGACCCAGCACCCTCCCCCACCTCAGCTTCTCCTTCCTCACCCCCCAAATCTCATCTGTCTCTCTGTGGGGGGACACTCACTTCTCAGAAGCCCAGACGTTGGGCCCCAGACCCCAGGGGCTGCTCGTGGAGAGAGGGCGGCCGTTCAGAGCTTCTGCACAGCGGTTCCGCTCTGGGTGCTGGGCGGCGGCGCTCCTGGGTTCCCTCTCGGGCTCTGGGAGGGGAGGGGTCAGAGCATGCCCCCCCAGCTCAGCGCCGGGTCTGGGCGCGGGCGCTCAGTGGGCGGGGGGCTGGCCCGGGCAGTGCCCACACCTCTCTGCAAGTCGCGGGACCCAACCCGGCGCAGCGCGTCGCCGCGGGAGCCCCGGTCTGTGCGCACCGGCACCCGCCGCCCAGCTGCTCAGGATGACATCAAGTCACCTCCCCCTTCCAGGCCCGCACCTCCCCGCGGGCGGGGGGGGGCGGGGTAGGGGGGGGCTGCGTCAGGAAGCTCTGGGGGCCGCTGGGAGATGTAGTCTCCATACCGCTTAAAGGGGGGGCGGTGCCAGACTAAAGGGGTAGTCCCGATGAGCACCCAGGGACGGAGACGAGGCAGAGCGGAATGAGGTTCGAATGGTGCTGGGCCCCTAGGTTCTTGGAAGGGAGGCCGCAGAGGGAGAGAGGAGGACTCGGGAGGTTGCACCAGGAAGCTAGGCGTGATGACAGGACAGTGACCGAGGCCCGATACTATGCCAGGCCCCAAGATCTGGCCTGCTCCATTTGTGCCCCAGCTGCTCCATCCCATGGGAACTTGACCCTCACCCCAGACCGCCAGACACTTTACAATCTCCTTGGAAACCGGCACTGGCCTGGTTAATAGTCTTTGGTGAGCCAGTGCCTGCTGGGAGGGGTGTGGCACGCAGGAGGCTGCTGGGAAATGCAGTCCATCCTCAGGCCTGCAGTCCCCCTCCCATTCCTTGCTGTCTAAGGTGACATCATGGGTTGGGGTTTAAAGGGCCAGACTTGGGTGCCAAAGCATCAGAGCTGGAGGTGCTTCCTGGCACTGCCACCACCCCCTGCAGGCAAGCTGGACTGCCTGGGCAGACCTCCCAGCCCCTCTGGGCCTTGAGATGTGGAGTCTCTTATTGAAAAGCCTGTGCAGTCTACGGCCATACTACCCTGAACGCGCCCGATCTCGTCTGAAAAGCCTGTGCAGTGTCCAAGGCACAGATAGCATTCCAGGAGCTGGACATTCCTGCCAGAAGCTCCCTTGGCCCCTTCCTAGGACCCTGGACCCCAATACCCTTTATACCCTCGAACTCCACGTCCCTACACTATGCTGTGAAGTCGCCATCCAGAAGTTTTGCCTGGATGAACAACTAACTAACTGGTCCATGTGAGCAAGAGGATTGGGCAATGAGACCAGACAATTTAGTCAAGGAGGGGGCTGGAACCTGGGGCCCTTTTTGGAGTCCTCCCCACCCTGCCCAGGGCCTCAGTGAGCACCCAGTGCGCCAGTGCAGCCACCCAGCCATCTCCCCTGTTGTTCTGGAGCCTGGGTGTCCAAAGGTGCCCGCCTGCTAGAACAACTGAAAGCCAAGGACCCAATTCAGTGAGGCTGGGATCTAGGACCACACCACTGGAGAGTTGGCCAGTGACCCCTTGCTCTGCACCAGAAATCTGCACCAGGCCTTGTTCATCTGGCCCTTGGCATCCTCGTCTGTCCTTGGAAACGCATAATCTCCCCCTTGCCCAACTCCTAGGCTCAGGAGGTGAAGTCTGCCACATCCCTCCCCTGAAAAAACTGGGGGAGGGCAAGCCACCTTGGAGCCTTCTATAGCCAGGTAAGGATCCCAGGTGCCAGAGGGGAGAAGGCTTTGCTCAAGGTCACACAGCTATTATCAAAAGCTTAAATTAGGGGCCAGACCCCCATCTCCCAGCCTAAGTCAGGAGGGCACCAGCTCCAAGCCCCCTGGGTGTAGTGTCCTGGACTCAAGGTCAAGTTGACAGTGGAGGACTGACCAGTGCTTTGTAGAATGGGGGGCAGTCAGTCTGAGGACTGAGGAACTGAAGGGCGAAGGGCAGACTAAGACTTCCTGCAAGGAGCCCTGGCTGGTGTAGCTCAGTGGATTGAGTGCAGGCCTGTGAACCAAACAACCTCGGTTCAATTCCCAGTCAGGGCACACGCCTGGGTTGCAGGCCAGCTTCCAGCAGGGGACACATGAGAGGCAACCATACATTGATATTTCTCTCCCTCTCTCCTTCCCTTCCCCTCTAAAGATAAATAAATAAAATCTTAAAAAAAAAAAAAAAAAGACTTTCTGCAAGGAGTGATATTTGAACTGGGTCTCAAAATAGATACGGTGTCACCTGGAGGTGCAGATGAAAATTCTTTTTTATCACCTTTATTGAGATAGCGTACGCATTCCAAAAAAACCACCAATTTTGTTGTTTAATGGGTATAGAGCTGCCGGTTTGCAAGACAAAAAAGTTCTCAAGACTGATTGCACAACACTGTGAATGTATTTAACACTATTGAATTACACACTAGGGTTAAGATGGTAAAGTTTATGTTATGTATATTTTACCATAATTTAAACAAGATGCAAAATCCAGCCCTGGCTGGTGTGGCTCAGTGGATTGAGCGCAGGCCTGAGAACAAAGGGGCCGCAGGTTCCGTCCCCAGTCAGGGCACATGCCTGGGTTGCCAGCCATGTCCCCAGTGGGGGGCGCACGGGAGGCAACCACACATTGATGTTTCTCTCCCTCTTTCTCTCTCCTCTCCCCTCTGTCTAAAAATAAGTAAATAAAATATATTTTTTAAAAAGATGGAAAATCCAGGCCCTCTACTACCGTGGACCAAGTTGAAAGTCACACTCCCTTGTTATCTCTTATGATCCTTTCCACACCCGCCTTGATCTCACTGAGCAAATTCCCAGAGGCGCTTCTGGTTGTGCCATCCCTGGGGAAGAGGGAGCCTCCTTCCTCCCAGAGCCCCTGAGGCCTAGAACTCAGGTTCTGCCTGATGAGTCCCCGTCTAACCTAATGTGGGGAGGTCTCCAAGGAACCCCACAAAGCCTGGCCCTTCCCCTTTCCTTTCTGTGGGGAGGGACCACGGCCCCATCGTTCCCCAGACCCCTTGAGTTCTCTGGGGTCCAGTTGTCCAGTGAAAGCTCCCCAGTTCAGTGGGCAGAGCCAGTGTATTTGTTGGGGGGTCTGAACTTAAAGTAGGGCCTGGGAGGGACTTCCTCCCAGAAACACCGCCTTCCCTCCTAAGAGAATTTCGTACCGTTTACCTCGTGAGCACTTTTTGTTCTCTCCTTCGGTTCCTGCTCCAGGCCTGGGCCAGGCTGTGAGATCATTGGGTCTTGGAGTGGATCTCTGTGGCGCTCAAAGAGCTTTGTCTAGGGGAGGCGGCAGAAAAGACCTTTGTGCCCCTCTGCGTCCTGTCTACTCTTCTGCTGTAATGCAGACACTGCATTCTGTGCTGGCCACAGAGAGGGTCAGAGGAGCAGTGGACTCATAGGCACCCGCTCCAGAGAGACGGATGTGGCTCCCAGTCAAGTTACCATGAGAGCCAGACATGGGTGTGGCTTCACGAGAGAGAAGTCGACCAGGGGAGCTGCCACCCCAGATTGGGGACCTGAATATTGGAAATGGTCCTGTGTCCTCCACCTTTGCACATGGTGCGCCCTATTCCCTCTGCAGGGGAACAGTCGCCCCTCCTAGACTGGACACAAGGACATTTCCTACTCTCCAGAATATGCCCTTCTATCGCACTGCCTTTGGGAGGAGAAATGATGCTTTTTCATTCGCTCACTCCACAGGCACTTAGGCAGACAGCCTGTTACCTCTCCTGCAAAACGGGGATGTGGGGGTGTTAATAGTGTCTCCTCTCTCTGCGCAGGGGTGAAGAGCAGATGAGGTAATGCAGTAAAGTGACAAGCCCAGGACATCACACCGGCTCAATTCCTCATGTCTAGTATTTTTTTTAAAGTCATTATTAATTTAATCGACATTTAACGAATGCAACAGTGCCCCTGGTCTGTCATGGGGGACAGGCAAAGCTTGCGAATCATTCCTTAATAAGCATTTTCTCAGTGTCATCCTATCAGCCTGCCTCCTTGAGTGGGGCCTTCCCAGTGTCTTCCAAAATCCTCCTGGAGGCTGTTCCTCAATCCCTTCTAAGAATCCTCCCGCCTGCTACACCCAGCCTCAGATTACAGGAGATGAAACTGCTGGAAGCGTCACCGTGGAGGCTGACTTGCCTGAGGCCACACAGAACTGGGACTGGCATCCAGGCCCTGCCCCGAGGCCAGGACAAATGTCCTTGCTTCAAACCAACTTTTGCCTTTAGATGGCAGTTGAGTCCCCTTGTTCTAGCAAAACTAAAATAAGGCAAAAATAGAATTACAATTACCTCTGGGTATCTCTCAAATCACCCTTCATGTAATGGGGCTTGCGTGACCAACTCAGTAGAGCAGGAGTCTGCAAACTTGTAAAAGGCCAGAAAATAAATGTTTTAGGCTTTGCAGGTCACCGCTGTAGCAAGAAAGCAGCCCTAGACAGTACTTGATTAAATTAACTTGGCTATGTTCCACTAAAACTTTACTAATGCACACTGGCATATGAATTTCATATGATCTTTGCATGTCATGAAATCTCATTCTTCCTTTGCTTTTTTCCCAACTATTTAAAAATGTGAAAACCATTCTTAGCTCACTGGCTGTACAAAAAACAATAGACCCCCCTACTCAAGGGATTTGGAACCCATTCTTCATTAATTTTAGCACTAGAAAGATGAAAAGCTATTATTCCAAATGGGATGAAGTTCTGACCAACTGCAGAAAGAAGGAAGGGTCAGTAAATGTCCTGCCAAGCTTTGCAGGGGAAGAGTGGAAAAGGACCTTGGTAATGCACTCACAGCAACCTTTACAAAGCTGTTTTCTTATTTGTAAAATGGTGACTATAACCTCTACTTTACATGGTTCTTATTAGAGTTGAAACAGATAAAGGATAGTAAAGTACTCTGTAAGCTGCAAATGTTTATTTATTTGTGTCTGCAGATGCGTGCAAGGGCTCTCCTACCTACTTTATTTCTCTGGGAAGCCTTCTACGAAGTTTTATGAGTCACTGTTCCTTTAAACCGTTCCCAACTACTTAAAATTAATTGGATAAGTATGCACATGCGCATTCCTCTGCGAGAACTGGCACTTCAAGCAACAGCCCTCCCGCAGCTAGTAGAAGGTTAAAGGTCCTCCCACAAAGAATTTATACGCAAGCGTAAATCAAGATTGGGAGCACTATATCACGCAGAGAGCCTAGTCTCTTTTTGGTGCCTGAAGGCTCCACCCCCCTCGGCCAATCAGTAGGCCTCGCCCTTTGCAATAGCCAATGGTTGTGAGCGTGGGGGGCGTGGCTGAGCACCCGGGGGCGCGGCCTGGCGCTGAGAGAAGCGGCGGGGCGAACCCGAGGCTCTAGTGAACAGCGTAGCCGGACAGGGATCGCCGGCGGGCGGCGAGCGGAGGCGGCCCGGGCCCGGCGGTCTCCGAGATGTCACGATGGCTGTGGCCATGGTCGAACTGTGTGAAAGAGCGGGTCTGCCGCTACTTGCTGCACCACTACTTGGGTCACTTTTTCCAGGAGCACCTCAGCCTAGACCAGCTCAGCCTCGATCTGTACAAGGGCAGCGTTGCCCTGCGGGATATCCACCTGGAGATCTGGGTGAGGAGCCAGGCCGGAGCCTGGCAAGAAGGTGGGGGGCACAGGGCCGCAGCGACCTGAGGCTCCCGGAGAAAGGGTCTGGCCGAGGGACCAGGTACTAGGCGTGTTAAGGCCATGGAAATCCGGCCCTTTTCAGGCGTCAGAAGGACCCGTCTGATCGCCTCCAGAGCAAGAACCTGGGCAGGAAGGGGTTCCTTGTGGCCACTAAACCAGAGGAGAAGCTGAGGCCGGGGAGAGGGATGTCACTTGTCTGGAGAATGCCAGAATAAGCACATTGAGTTTGGGCCTTGATTTCGAGGAGCGTGGTGGAGGGACTAAGGAGAGGGTGAGGAGGGAGTGGAGCCGAGGAACTAGGGGGTTCGGGTAGGACCAGGCCAGGGCAGTGATAGACTTGGGGCCATGACCCTGGCCACGGAAGACTGGTAGGGGCCCGGAGCCCTGCTGAGGACACCTGTGGGAAAGGTCCCCTGACCTCCTGACCCTACAGCCTTGGGCCCAGTGGGTGGGGTTCGCCTCCGGATGTGGATGTCAACAACCGCGTCAGCACCAGTGTTGATCAACACCTCGTGTGACTGCTGAGGCTTCTGACTACTTCCTGCTTTTGGGAGAGTGGGAGGGACCAAGTGGTTGTTTGAGGAGGGGATTGGGAATTAACATCCCCATCAAGAGGGAAGCCCGGAGGGAAGCCCACAGGGAGGGTCGAAGAGGTCAGGCTCCAGTCAGGAAGGAGGCTGGGGAGACAGTGAAGAGGCAGAAAGAAGTAAGGTCAGGGTCAGAGGTGAGTCTTGGCGCAGTGAGGGGTCCTGACTCACAGCTCAGCTGACCTGGAAAGTTGCAAAGGAACCACCAATTAGAGGCATCAGCTCAGGAGGGCAGGGGCTTCTCAGTTTTCTGGCTGGGCAGGCAGCATGGCTGGCTGCAGCACAATCTGGGCAGGAAGAGTTGGGCCTCAGGGATAGTTCTTCCTGAGCTAATGTGGGGTAAGGGAAGTCCCCTGAGCCCAGAGTTGGGGGCACCTCCTGGTAGCCTCTTGCCTGTGAGTCCCAGTGCAGGAAGCCTTCTCAGACCTCTAAGCTGCCCCTTCCTACTTCAGTGCCAAGAAATGCGCCCGCCGCACCCAGCCCTGCCCTCCTGTTGGGTTTGAATTGGCTCCTAGCTAGTTATGCCCCAGTGGAATGCAGGTGCTTTTCCAGCAGCCAGCTGCTCCCCCCAGCTGCTCTGCCTGCAGCCTCTACCTTGAAGACCTTGGAAGAAGCCTGGTGCCTGGGGACCCTGAGATAGGATAAGCAGAGAGACATTGGTCCAGTGCATTGGGTGACGAGGCTAGTCTCGTCTACTCTCTAGGCCTCAGTTTCCCCATCTGTGAATCTTACGTGAGGAGTTTGGACTTGATCTCTCTGGGCCTTCTGGTGTGTTTACTCATGGATCCAACACATGCTTATTGAGACCCTCTCCGGGTTTCGCCCGGAACGCAGGTGGGCTTCTACTCTCCAGGAGCTCCCAGGCTGGTGGGGGTACTGTTCCCCCATCTGTAATGGGGGAGGGGTGCTCAGCCTGTGCCGCAGAGAGATGTACAGCTACACCAAGTGTTTTGAGTCTGGGGGCATCCCCTGCCTACCTCTTCTGGACACTCCCCGAGAACTCTGGCTGCCCAGAGCGCAGCTGCAGTGCTGGTGCACTCTCTGCCGGGCCTTTGAGTGTGCTGGTCCCAAGCCTGGAACACTCCACCTTCCGTCCTCCACCCGGCTCCCTCCACTTCGTCCTTCAGCTCTCCCTCTGGTTTGAAAGATTGGGCGTGTTTGGGTGACGCAGTGATAGGACCCACCAAGGCTAGGGGTCCACATGAGCAAAGGTAGGACCTCGTAGGTAGTGTTGTAGAGAATCCGGGGGAGCAAGGGTGCTCTCCAAAGCAGAGCAGACAAAGGATGCAGCAGCCAGGGAGACAGGCAGTTTGGGGTTTTCCTGAGCCAGGTCTGTCCCCTGTCTGCTCTCAGTCTGTGAACGAGGTGCTGGAGTCCATGGAATCGCCATTGGAGCTGGTGGAAGGCTTCGTGGGCTCCATCGAGGTGGCTGTGCCCTGGGCCGCGCTGCTCACTGACCACTGCACCGTTCAAGTGTCAGGCCTCCAACTCACCCTGCAGCCCCGTCAGGGCACAGGTAGGCTAAGGGCAGGCTAAGGCTGGGGGTGGGGTGGGGGTGGGAGAGCAAGTGGTGGGAGTGGGCCTGGTCACTCAGGAGCTGGCTGGGCCTGCTTGCCCTGAGACCCTCTTCCTACCTGCAGGACCGGGGCCTGCTGACTCGCAGAGCTGGGCCTCGTGCATGACCACAAGCCTGCAGCTGGCTCAGGAGTGCCTGCGGGATGGGCTGCCTGAGCCCTCTGAGCCACCACAGCCCCTGGAGGGCCTGGAGATGTTCGCCCAGACCATCGAGACTGGTAAGCAGGCCCCTCTTGGCCACCCTGCTACCCTGAGGGGGAAATTCTTCCTGTCCTTTACAGCTCTACCTTACCCGAGACCCCCTCCTTACTCCTCAGTGCTGCGGAGGATCAGGGTGACCTTCCTGGACACTGTCGTGAGGGTGGAGCACTCCCCGGGTGATGGGGAGCATGGCACGGCAGTAGAAGTCCATGTGCAGAGGTAGGTGCAAGCCTGGTGGGTGGGCCGGAGTGAGGGACAGGGGGTGTGAGGGGCTACAGATGGCCCTGGCCCTGACCCTACCCCCAGCCTAGGCTCCTGGGAAGTGGCAGAGCATGTCTGCGTGGGCCTGGGCAGTGACCACAGCAAGGTGGTGGGCTGTGTTGTGAGCCGTGAGTGGTGTCCCAGGGCCAGGTGGTACAGACACAGAGTGGCAAAGGGACCCCTCAAGCATCAGGTTACACTCAGAGGGTCCAAGGAGCAAGAACTGGCCGTGGGGGTCCAGGACAGTCTGGCTACGATGGGCAGCTCCATGACCCCAGACCCCTAGAACAGAATTCTGTGCAGGGAGGCGGGCTCTACGCCTGGGTTGACTGGGACAAAGGCTGACTCTGCACTCCCCAGACTAGAATACTGTGACGAGGCCATGCGGGACCCAAGCCAGGCACCCCCAGTGGATGTGCACCAGCCTCCCGCTTTCCTGCACAAGCTGCTGCAGCTGGCGGGGGTCCGCCTGCACTTCGAGGAGCTTCCCCCACAGGTGGGTCAACCCCGATCCCCACAGTCTCTTTCTTCTTTTAATCTCTGCCCTCTCTGGCGCTTGACTCCTCTGCCCCTCTCTCCCTTCTGATGAGCCTTGATGGCATCTTCTTGACTCCTCTGCTCTTATATTCTCTTGCCTCCCAGGAACATGCCCCAGAGCCCCCTTTACAGATCGGCACTTGCTCAGGGTACATGGAGTTGACAGTGAAACTGAAGCAGAATGAGGCCTTCCCAGGCCCCAGGGTGAGTCCCTGGGCCCGTGGGGAGGAGGTGACATACTCCACCTCAGAATTACTTAGCCAGGTTTATCTTTTCGGGACAAATTGGGTCGTCAGGTGGGGGAAGTTGCTACCTTCTTGGCAACTGGAGAAACTGAAGTTCAGAGGGGTCAAGTCGTGGCCAGGGTCACTCAGGTAGTTGGTGAGAAAGCTTAGCCTGGCAACTGGTATCCTTCCTCCACAGGGTGAGGGCAGGTGGGTAGTGGCTCTCGGGGGGGCCTGGGTGGCAAGTATAGGCTTTCTGGTTGCCCCCTCTGCCCTCAGCTGGAGGTGGCCGGACAGCTGGGCTCCCTGCACCTGCTCCTAACCCCACAGCAGCTCCAGCAGCTTCAGGAACTGCTCGGTGCCATGAGCCTGGCAGGTGAGGCCTCTGGGCAATTCAGGGGGTGGGACGGCTGCTGGAGAGCGGCCGGCCAGGTTGGACTGATGCCAGGAAGTGTCCTCCACTGTAGACCCCAAGGCCCTGGATGACAAGCTGAACAAGAGCCGCCCACTAGGTGCTGAAGACCTATGGCTGATCGAGCAGGACCTGAACCAGCAGCTGCAGGCGGGGGCTGTGACCGAGCCCCTCAGTCCTGACCCCCTTACCAACCCGCTTGTCAACCTGGACAGCACTGGTGGGTGTGGGGCCAGGCCTGCGGCTGGCAGGGTGGCCAGTGTGGGTACAGGAGTCGGGGGGCCAAGCCCACTGTCCCTGACGCCCTCACCCGGCCCGCAGACCTCTTCTTCTCCATGGCGGGCCTCACCAGCAGCGTGACCTCCGCCCTCTCTGAGCTCTCCCTCTCCGACGTAGACCTGGGCTCCTCCGTGCACAGTGACGTGACCCCACGCCAGCTCCCTGCCCAGGGCCACCCGATCGGTGAGTGCTCCAGAGGCAGAAAGAAAGGAAGTGGCCTCAGGGCTGTGATGTCACATGTATGCAGGAGGCCTCCCGTGGTACCATGCCGGTCCACCGTGGGTGACTTGGTTTCGGGGGGAGGCTAGCGATACAATGGACAAAACCTGGGTTCTAGAGTCAGTGAACTTGGATGAGCACTTCCACTCTCCAAGACGTAATTTCCCCTCTCAGTAAGTGAGGGTAACCAGGCATGACCTGTGGGCTGTGTGGTTTTTCGCCATCTATTGAGAGCTTGTATGTGTAAGGGACTGGTTTGAGTGTTTTGTCACCTGTAGTCCTTGAAGTTCCCTTGAGAGGGTTGAACTTAGCCTGGACTCAATGCCTGGCCAAGCCTCCTCCCAGAGCCGCGGTCCGGCTGGGCAGGGCTGCCCTTGAACTCTGGGGAGCCCCTGGTGAAGCCTCTGTCCCCTCAGGCAAGACGGCCCTCACACCCCATCCGGACACCATGCGCCCTGACTCGCTACTGAAGATGACCTTGGGGGGCATGACCCTGACCTTGCTTGAGACATCCGCCCCGCCTTCTGGACCACCTGACCTCACCACCCACTTTTTTGCTGAGTTTGATGCTGCCAAGGATGGGCCCTTCGGCTCCCGTGACTTCTACCATCTCCGACTGCGCTTCCAGAGGGCCTGTCCCTGTAGCCATGTTCGGTACAAGCCCAAGGCAGGGGCCTGAGCAGAGACTCCCTGAGCCCCGCAGTCCCCTGCCTGATGCCCAGCTTCTTTTCTGCAGGCTAACGGGTGCAGCTGTGCAGCTGTCCTGGGAGCTGCAGACCGGCCGGGGCCGCCGGACCACCAGCACGGAAATGCACTTCGGGCAGCTTGAAGTGCTGGAGTGTCTGTGGCCCAGGGGCACTTCACAACCTGAGTACATGGAGGTGAGGGCCAGCGGCAAGTGTGTGCAGCCTGGGCCTGGAGGTCGGGGTGGATGAGAGGGCTTGGCCTGATCCTCTCACCGTTCACGTCCCACCCCAGATCCTGAGCTTCCCCAGCAGCCAGGGCTCCCAGGCTTCGGCTCAGCCCTGTGCCCACCTGCGCCACACGCAGACGCTGCGCCGTGTGCCCAAGGTAACCCACCCCACTCTGGGCCTGAAGACCCTTGGCTGCTTCTCATAGTGCGTTGACACCACACCCCCAGTCCAGTCTCTTCTGCTACCTCCCTGGCCTGCTCCAAGCAGAGCACACCTCCCCACCCGAAGACCCCTGAGCACATTTGAACCTGGGTGCCCCTCACCGGCTCATCATGGCGGTCGCCCGCTAACCTCCAGGGTTGGGTGTGGTGACTCGTGGGTGGCTTTCATTAAACAAGCAGGGTCATCTGCCTCTGGCAGGGTGGTAGCAGTCTCCTGGTCCCCTCCTAAGTCCCCTGCCCAAGCGCTTTTCACCACCACCTGGGAGGCCTCTCTGTTTTTGCTCAAGGGGACCCCTTCCCGCCCTGCCCTCAGCCACCCCACAGCCCTTGTTGACCTGAACACCCTCAACCTCAGAGCCGATCCCGGCGCACAGCCACCTGCCATTGCCGCTCAGAACTGGCCCTGGACCTGGCCGACTTCCAGGCAGAGGTGGAGCTGGGGGCCCTGGACCGGCTCACTGCCCTGTTGCACCTGGCCTCCTTTACCCCTCCCGAGGCACCCGCCGGCCTGCTGGTAAGGTGCCTGGCCAGGGCTGGGAGTGGGGCACAGGCACTGTGGCTCATGGTCACCGTGGTGGGGGCCCTGGCAGCAGCTGTGACCCCTGTACCTTCTCGCAGACAGAGTCCCCGCCAGCTGCCGAGCAGCAGACGGTGGTGCGGCTGTCAGCGCCCCGGGCCACGCTTCAGCTGCGCTTCCCCATTGCCGACCTGCGGCCTGAGAGGGATCCCTGGGCAGGCCAGGCTGTTCGGGCGGAGCAGCTGCGGCTGGAACTGAGTGAGCCCCACTTCCGGACAGAGTTGAGCAGTGGGCCTGGCCCCCCCACCCCCACCCGCCTGGAACTTACCTGCTCTGATGTACACGGTAAGAGCCCTTGGGAAGCAGACAGTATCTGGGGCAGGGGCTCTGGCCTGGTCTCCAGCAGAGATGGGCCTAGGGCTCCCGAAGAGGCGGGGTCATGGGGGAGTAGGCAGGACAGGGCCTTTATCCTTGGGCTGCTGCATGAGAGAGCACCCGGGTCCGTAAACAGGAAAGGATAGCCACCGCTGACTCCATGTGGCACTGAGGGAGAAATGGGGACAGGCGTCAGTGACCATCCCCTGTTCTTCCCCCTCCCCTCCAGGCACCTATGAAGATGGAGAAAAGCCACCTGTACCTTGCCTGCGAGTCTCCAAAGCCCCAGATCCCAAGAGCCCTGGTCGAAAATACTTCCTGCCCCAGTAAGTGGGGGCTCTGCCAGGGGCAAACGGCAGAGGGGGACTTTGCTCCTGAGGGTGGCACGAGGCCACCTGGAATTGGGCTCAGGGGACCTGCCAGTGACAGGCCTGTGCCCGGCAGGGTAGTGGTGACCCTGAACCCCCAGATCGGCAGCACACAGTGGGAAGTGGGCCCAGAGAAG